GCTCACACACAGTCACACACATGATCTCACACACACATGCTCACACACAGTCACACACATGCTCACACACACGATCTCACACACACGCTTCCACATGCATGCTCACACACACGGTCACACACATGCTTGCACACACATGCTCGCACACTCACAGTCACACGCATGGTCACACACATGATCTCACACACACATGATCGCATACACATGCTCACACACAGTCACACGCATGGTCACACACACACTCACAGTCACATGAATGCTCACACACAGTCACACACATGCTCACACACACGATCTCACACACACATGCTCGCACATGCATGCTCACACACTCACAGTCACATGCATGCTCACACACACACATGCTCACACACACACGCTCACATGTACTCACTTCTGACAGGATGTGCTCCACCTGGATGGGGGAAATCTTGTAAAATCAAAACATCTCAAATATATCAGGAACCAAATACATGCTAACACAAACGTTATTTTTGGAGCATTCCCTAAGGAAACCTGGTGAAGGACAGTACACACACATGCTGAGACCCCCGTCCATGGACCATTCTCATTCACAAAGAGACTGGCTGTATTCACGTTTACCCCTTGAATACGGCCGGACGCTGGGTGGAGAGTAGGTACTGTATAAAGTCTATTTGCTAAAAGAATCAGTATGCCAGATTTCTGAAACGGTAAATGGGCTTCAGTCATTGTCCAGCGTTCAGTCCTACAGGAATTCCCTTGCCTTTGGATGGGAGGGACCTTCGTATCCAGTTTTAAAACCAACAACGCAAGGATTCACACTGATAACAGTAAAACAAAATGTCTCTCCACTGGACGATTTGGTCAGAGGACTTGGGGTTGGAAGCTCTTTGTCTTAGATCTGGCTTGTTCAGAAGCCGCTGAGCAATTTCATAATCTGATTCACTGCCTCTTCTGCTTCCTAAGAGGCTGGCGCCTCTTATGCCACGGGTGTTAACCACATGTTTGAGGTTAATAAAATGCCAAGTCAGCCAATGCCACTTGTGACAAGCTCAGAAAACACAGCTTTCCATGCAGGCGTGAACACGGGCGCCATGATGGTAAGACAGCACTCAACACAACTGTTCCCCACTTGTAGCAACAAGGGGCTGGTCTGGACAATCTCTAAGGGCCCTAGGATCTAACTGGCCCAGCCCCCTTGATCCCTCCAGAACATCTGTGCTCCAAGCTTCCCCGGCTGAGAGGGAACTGTAAAGCCACCGCCTTCTGGGCACCTGAGAGTTTAACCCATTCCTTTCTTTCTCGGGAAGAGCAAGAAATGCACAAAGCAATAAGCACAAAGCCTACTGGACTCAAGGAAAAATCAGAAGAGTCTTGTTTACATAACCAGACCACTGATTTATCAGTCACAGAAAGCACGCTTTGATAGGATCCCACCTAACAGTGATGCAGTGGTGGACGGGGGATGAGGCTGTTTTCTTTGGGTACATCTGGACAAGAACTTTACATATGGGAATTTCTTTTCCCACCTCCCCATTGTGTGCGCAGCACTTCACAGTTTACACCATATTTCCACGTTCATTTCTCCATCTGGTCTCATAACCAGCCTATGAAGAGGGCAGGGTGGACGGATCAGTCCCATTTTGCAGATGAGGAAACAGAGGCTCAGGATGGTGAAGCCACATGCCCCAAATCACCCAGAAATTCCATCAAGAAACAGAAGGAGACCTGGAGCCTTCTGCTTCCTGCTCCATGGCTCCGGCCACCTGCAGCCCGTGCACCTATCCCAGGCCGACTCAGGCAGAGCGGAGGTGGGCGGTCCCCTCAGAGAGGGAAACCAGGGGCTGAGAGACCCCCTCACTGCTCGACCTGTCCAGCCCCTACTCGCTGATGCAACAAAACTCTCTGACTGAAGACTGGCTATTCACTCTCTCCTCAGAAATTCCTAAAACACAGGAATGAATGACTAACTCTGGTTAGTTCTGTTTTCCAAAATTCCGGCTGGGTTGGGTTGGGGTCCAGGAAGCCTTTGTCCCTCAGGATCTTGGCTGGCGTCAGTCCGGCTGCCTCCCTCAAAGTGGCATAACCGAAGCCCCAGAAACCCGCCGTCGGTGATGACTCCCACCCCAAGCCCACTGGCGTGTGTGAGCCTCAGCTTTAGAGCACAACAGAGGCGTCCTGACTCAGAGGTGCCCTCCGCAGTCTTTGATGCAGAGGCTCCCGGGAGCCCACTAGTGAACCTGCCCTTACTATTCAGACAGCCCCTGGTGCCTCCCCATCCCCGACCGGAACACGGCAAAAGGAAGCATCCAGAAGCACAAGGGGTGCAAGAGGCATGCAGGGAACACGGCAGCAGAGGAAATCCGACTGTACCATGCTGTTTGTAGATAGGGGGTTTCCTATAGATGTTATCTTTTACGCCAGTGTCTGGGAAAGAAGAGAAAGAAGAGGAGAAGGGCAGGGTGAGCGAGCACACTGGTTTCCACCCCACTGCTTCTCCAAAGCCAGCGTCAGGCGCCAGATTCCAAGTGGCCAGAAAGGCTCACAAGCGACTGACGCCCGGGGCCCACACCTCAGACCAAGCATCGCCCAGCCCGAAGCCAGAACCTAGTTCAAGGGGTGTGGGGAGGGAGGCAGCTGGAGTGGGCAGCCGGCCAGACAGCGCCTTCTCTCCAGCACATTCCCGGGAGAGCAAAAATGTCTCCCTGGTGTTTGTGTGGCTTTGGGGGAAACTCCAACGCACGCCAGCAGGGGGATGTGCAAACCCTCAGAATTGGGGGGGCCGAGAGGCTTGGGGATCATAGCAATCCTGTGCAATCAGACGCTCTGTGTGGCAAGCCCAATCACGCTCCTGGGTGCCTACCTGGGATGTGGAAGTGGCGAGGCGCCTGCTGGTAGGTGCAGGGGGGAGGCTTGCTGTCCGAGAGCACCGAGAGGCTGGGGGTGCTCCGGCCACTTTCACTGCCTCCAGACGGAAGAGCAAAGACAGGTAGAAGGGAGGAAGGGAAGGCAAAGGACAGTATGTCAAGTAGGAATGCTGGTTCCCAGTGAACCCATCTCCCCTGGCTGGTGGAGCCCCGCAACTCTCTGCCCAGGGGAGGGTGCCCTCCACCGACACTTCCAGACAGTGCCCCACGGCTTGTTAATCCAACCTCGAGGGGACCCCTTCCAGTGGCCCCATTTGCAAGGAGCAGTGGCCCCAAGGGCAAAGCGCTTGCGGTTGCTAGTTCCTGGGAATGTCGGCTTGGCTCGGCTGACCCCTACTCTCCTCGGGGTGGACAGTTGGTCTGCTGCTCAGCACCGGCCGGGGCTTGAATCCGGCAAATCGCAAATTCACCAAAACTGAAGCCTCCCTCCCTCAGTATCCTTGTGTAAAAAGATGCCGCTTTCTTGGAGAATCAACAAATCAGTCATTCAGAACAGGATTACAAAATCGGTTCCTAAATGCCGCTGAGTAAAATTTTACCAGCTATAGGAGGATAAGAGCAAGTTGATATTAATTAGCTGCCATGTTCCTAAATAAAGCTACTTTTGGCAAATTAAATGAAAGGAATTCTCCAAATCTCGCTCCAATTTCCTATCCCATCTGGATTTATAATTTCTGTGTTCTGAACAGGTTGGATTATCAAGTCACAAATTCAGACAGTCGTAGTTTCCCCAGGTGACCCCCCCTCGCCCCCCTCCCCCACCCTACACATACCTATTTAAGGAATGACATGATAGACAGAATGCAATGGGCGTTGAACACTTTGGATGGTGAGGTTTATGGCTCATTTTAGCAAGACACTCCTAAGGCACACCTCATTTCCTCTCCCATTAGCCTCAGGAAACCCTCTGCCGTCTTGGATCACAGCCTGGCGAAGGGAGGGGGCCCTCCAGACTTGGAAGGAGCCCCTGCGGGCTACAGCTGTTCAAAGCGGCAGGGCCCTGAGGTGACCCGGCAAGGAAGCAGCCCTCCCACGGGGCTAGACGTGGACGGGAGGGCGTAGCAGGCGTGGGCTCCGAGCACGCTGTTGCCTGGGTCGGGTGCACTGGGAACCCGGGAGGGCTCGTAGGGGCAGAGGTGGGCACTCAGCCTGAGCAGGCCACCACCCCGTGGCCCAAACCGGGCTGAGACCACCAAGGGGGCTGCTGACCTCAGCTCGGAGCAACCATCCCCCTGTGCCTGGGCACCAATTTCGCCTGTTAGTGCTGATGGAACTTCGGGCCCATGACTGCCCCCTATCACCGCGTGAACCCTACCTTCCCCTGAGCCACACCCCCCGTGCAGCACAGACTCTTCCAGAGCCCCACACCAGTCCAGGCTCCTTCCTGCAGCTCCCTGGGGAACAGGAGCCTTCAAGCCATTGCTGAGTCCCCAGGCGAAACCATCGCCTTGTGCACATAAAGGTAACTGCCGATTGCCGATCGGTTCTACCAACAGTGGCTGTGAAGGGGTCCACCCCAAGGACAGAGAAACATGGCAGTAGTTTAAACAGTCTCCTTGCACAGGCTCGGGAACCGCCGAGGATGGCCCACTCTGGGTGTCATCACTAAGCCTGCTGTGCTCCGGGCACGGCCTGGCGAATCCGGGAGGCTTCGAACAGCTCACTTCCTTCTGCCTAGACACCCTCGTGCACCCAGCTCCTGCCCAGGTGGCTGCAGATGATGGGACATGTGGCAGGGGTCCTGACCCCCAGTCCCCAAGCCTACAGTGCAGTGTCCTCCGACAGCACAAGCAACAGCCTGTGTGTGTGTGCTGATCTATCTGGCGAGCACCCACAGTCCTCAGCAGGCCCTCACGGGGCCCGAGACCCTGGGGCAGCTGGGGACACAGACCCAGAAGCAGTGGCCCATGACGCCCATCCACACCTACCATCCAGGGGTACAGAGATCACCAAACTCTGCCCCCTGGTCCCTGGCTGAGACGTCTCTCCTGGCATACCCTCCTCCCAGCCTCCCTTCCCCTCCCCACCCCCACTAGAATCCCCTTTGCAATCCTTCCCACTTGTCATGGCCCTTCCTGGGTCAAGGCCCTGGTGCAAAGCCTCCCTGGGAGACCCAGGCCACCATTGACCATTCTCCTGTCTGGATTCACTGGGTCACCTCATTGTCATAAGACACACTGCTAACATCCCGCCCCCCCCGACCCAGGGTCCCTTGTAGTGCTTTGCCCACATCAGCTCACAGAAGCTCAGAGAAATGCCCACAGCAGCCCCGTAGGACTCGTAACTCCCTGGCCACCTTCTGCAGGAGGGACGGGGCTGGGAGGGCCCGGGGCCAGGGTCCCCGGGAGGCCCAGCTCCAGCTGGCTCACCATGCCACCCCCAAGGCTCCAGTCACTGCCCCGGGGGCCAGCTTCCTCCCTGGGCATCAGCAGTAAAACCCCAAACCACCGATGTCTCCATGGATGCAGGAAAACGAGAGGAGGCCCTGGCCTGACTTTGAAAAGAAGCCCCTGCTGACCAGGCTCTCGTGGCCTCTGGAGGCAGTTCGGGAAGGAGGTCAGATTCTGACCTCTGCTGGTGGTGGTGGGGGAGAGGCTTCTTCTTCCTAAATTTGAAGCAAGTGGTCTACTATGGAGCATGCTGCAGCCAGTCTCCTCGCGGGGTAACGGCTCCTGTCGCCGCGGGGCATCGTGCGTTGCTGCCTTGGTGTTGGCTAAAGGCCACCCTTCAGATTTCACATCCCCGCCCCCGTCCGTGGACCCCATCCGGGACGTCACGTGACACGTCCCCCCCCATCTCCCCAGGCTCCTCTAGGCTGCGACGGTTTCTCAGACTTCGCTGGTTTGCGATGATTTTCGTGAGGAGTCCTGGGCAGGTGTTCTCTGCGGCGTCCCTCCGTGAGGACTGGTGTGATTATTTCTGGTGATCAGACGGGGATCGCGGGTTCTCGGGAGGAAGACCCTGGGGGCGCAGTGCCCGCCCATCCCATCAGGTCAAGGGCACCTGCCATCGACGTGACTGGTCACTGGGATGGTGACCTTGAGCCCCCGGCCGAGGTGGGGTCTGCCAGGTTTCCCGAGCAGTCTCCCTCCTGGCCCTCCAAGGCTGTGCCCTGAGCAGGCCATGCACCGTGCATGCCTGGGGACTCAGGGGGGCGTGGGTTCCCTCCTTGAGGGTGGCACGTCCACGTAAGTCACTGGGAGCTCTCCTGCTCAGGAGATCTGTCCCTTCGCCTTCATTTATTCATTTGCTCATTTATTTTTGACACATGGACTTGCGGGCCCTCACCTCACTCGCTGGGTGACCGTCCAATGTCCTGTCATTCATTCTGCTCTTCGATCGTCCCAGCTTTGCCTGGGTCGGCTCCTGTTGAGTCCTCAAGGTGGCTGGAAGCAAAGCCAGCTCCCGTCTGCGTGAAAGGGCGTGTTAAGGGCGATGAGCAAGACGTGCGTGGGTTCTCACATGTGCAGCGCTCCACCACAGGCCGTCTGAGTAAGGTGCGTGGCCCAGGGCCTGGAGCCAGATGAAGAGGTGCCTCTGGGGCACAGCAAGTGGGTGGGAAGCGGGCCCTGACCTGAGGCTCTGCACCGGCAGCCCCTTCCCTCCCCTCCTGCCCCGGGGGGAGGAGGCTTGCTGCTCAGTAAGCTGCAGCTGCCCAGTGAAGAGGTCCCGGCAGCACCACCTCCTCCTGACCTGCTCCTCAGCAGGTGAGAGGTCAGGCTTAAACCTTACGCTGCCTCAGGAGACATCCCCGGGTCTGAAATTCATAGTAAAGTGCAAATGACTGCCACCAACACAGATGCAGCCTGCCGGCCTTGGTAGAGAGTGGCCTTGGGCATTGAGACATGGGGGGAGGAAGGTGTGTCTGGGATGGGGGTCCAGCAAGGAGAGAGGAGGAAAGCCAGGCGCCCCTTCAGCATCTAGCTGGGTCAGGGCAGGTGGTGGCTGGGGTGAGGGCATGCCTCTCCTTGGGGAGCCCTCCACCCACAGTGGCATTCAGAGGGTCATCACCTAGAGGAGCCAAAGATGCTAAGGATGCCATGAGGAGAGGCCAGGAAAGGTTTTCCCGGGGAGGGTGGGTGGACACGGGGCCATGACCAGCTGGGAGGGGGACAGGCCTTTGACACAGCTGACAACTGAATGCCCATAGGCTGGGATGCGCTAGAGCATGCGGCTGTATGAGAGCATCAAGCAGAGGACAGGCTCCCTCGGTGTGGTCTCTGAGGTGGACTCAAGACCTGTGATGGACATGGCTGGTGAACAAGGGCCTGACTCAGCTCTGCCCCACGGAGCTTCGGGATCTCGGGCCAGCATCGTCTGTCTGAGCCTTGGTCTCCTCTGGGGTGAGTCCCGGAAAGAGGCTGGGCACTCCCAAGGTCACAGGTGGCCCTGGAAGTTGGGTATGGAGCAGAGACATGGCGCCAGGACTCCCCTGCATCTGACCCAGAGAGGAGAGCTGGGGCTTTCTCTGATTTCTGACAACAGGGATTGGTGGCCAATGCAGCTGGGAGGGACAGGGCAAATACCACGCCAAAAGCCGTAGGACCCACACAGGCCCCGTGCCTGGGCCCACCTGGCAGGCCGCATGGGGCCCGTGCTCCTGCCCCAGGAGATGCCCTTGGCCAGGCTCTGAAATGGTTTCTCAATCCTGTTTCAGTGGGCAGGGGCTAGAGTCTGTCTGCATGGTCTCCCCCACCATGGGGTGGAAGGAGAGGCCTAGCTGCTCCTGTCCGAGGACAACACGGCTGTCTCTCCCTGTTAACCAGCCCCCCGGCCCTCCCTTACGGGGCTGAGGAGGGGGTGCTGCTCTCCCTGACCCACCTGGAGTGGGCGTGCTGGTGATCCGAGACACCGTCCCAGGGCCAGCCCTTGGCTGAGGGCGCTTGCTGGCTCTCCTCACCCTGGAGGGCTAAGAACTTGAGGGTGGAGCGCCAGAAGGGGGCAGCGGAGGACAGAGTCACAGGGTCTGTCCAGACCCCAGCCTGGACTCGTCTCAGCCAAAGGGGGTCCCCGTGTGGTCCGGCCAGCTCATGGGGGCTGCTGGGACAGCAAGTGCCCCGTGGCCGGGCCTTGTCTCCGGGCCACCCCTCTTCCAGAGCCCCCAGGGGGACAGCCCCACCCAAAGCGGGGCCACGGCAGGTGGTGGGGGGAAGCTGTGTGGACAGGGGCCTTCGGACCTGTGAGCGGAGGGAGAAGAGGCATCTCCTTGGTGACCTGCCATGCCCCGCCTACCAGTCAAATTCCCCCTGGTTTGCAGGGAGTGTGCTGTCTGCCCACTGGACACGTATGGGCCACGCGGCTGCGTGTGGCAAAGCCTTGCTGGCTGCTGTCATGCTCACGGGAGGCACCATGTCCGGCTTTGCTGTTTCTCAAGAGGGACGGCAGGTCCAGAAAAGTTAGACGGTGAGCTGTGAGGACAGGTCCCGATGCTCGGGGGCTCTGCTCTCCGTAGACCCAGGGGAGACACGCAAACAAGTGATGGGGACGCACGTAAGGGAACGCACAAGTTCCAGCGAGCCCCGTCTGAGACCATCAGATGGGGGTACGATCCAGCTGAGCTTGGCTGGCCTCCCGGTCCCATCAGGAGGGCCATGTCCCACTCTGCAGCTGTACAGAATGGGGGGCTCAATGCCTCCCTGGGGGATCAGTAAGAACCTCACTGCTGCTTCCTCTAACACCCAGAGCATCCTCCTACGGTGTCTCAGGCTGCTAGGGCTGCATACCAAAGTGCTGGCACTTACAGCTCTGGAGGCTGCACATCCCAGACCAAAGCGTGGCAGGGCTTGGTTTCCGGTGGGAGCCCTGCTCCTGGCTGGCAGACGGCCACCCTGTCCTCACATGACCGTGAGGCCCTTCCTCTGAGCACACTCAGAGAGCGAGGGCTCTTCCAGTGTCTTTTCCTCTTCTCGTAAGGCCACTGACCTTATGGATCGGGATCTCATCTTAGTGACTTCATGCGACCCTGATGGCCTCCTGAAGACCCCATCTCCAAATGCAGCCACATGGGCGGTTAGGGCCTTCACTTATAGACCTCGGGGACATAATCAGTCCGTAACACATGGGAAACGAGCTTGGCCATTTTCCTGGTGTGACTGGCATTCGCTGTCTGTGTAGGGATGTGGACAGTTTGGGGGGGGGGTCTGCGCCCTGGGAGGAGGCAGGAACTAGAGCCTTGCAGGGTGTGCATCCGGCCCCAGCCACCATGAGCCCCGAGGCCACGGACAAATCATAGTCTCCTCTGCTTTGGCCCCTGATAATGGCGGCAAGCGGTCCCTGTGCCCCCGCGGAGCTGAGATGGGACATCAACGGGGGTCATGGGGGAAAGGCCCTGGGAACGAGGCCCCAGACTGGGCGTGAGGGAGATCCTAGCCTCCTGCCCCTGCGGCTCTCACTCGGCTCCTCACTACTCACTCCTTCCCACAGCAAGCTGCCTACGCCCTCATCCCAGGAACATTGACACACCGACAGAAACGGGGCTGGACCCACGAGACACACAGCAGGGAGCACGAGCGGAGACACAGGGCTCAGGGAAGCCATGCGGCGGACACAGGACAGCAAGACACAGACGCGTGGCCAGACGCCCTGCAAGTGCCCGTGGCCTGCGGCCCTGCGCACCTTACCTCGGAAGTAGGGGACGTAATGATGTCTGAACACGGATGTAGGGCTTGGGTGTTGGGACAGGGACAGGCAGCTACTGGTACCAACACTCACAGTACCAGCTGCAGGCAACAGAGAGCAAGTCAGAGTCCACCCCGGGCCCGCTAGCCGCAAAGCCACAACACAGTCCTAGGCCCCACTCCGCTAGGAACATTCGCGCTTCCTCTCCCGAAGAAGGCACACCTTTGTGAGGTCCCTGAGGGGGAGTCACCAGATGCGCTTCAGACCAGTCTGCTCCAGGCTCTGAGTGAGGAAGCCCGGCCCTCTGAGGGTCAGGGTGGCAGCCCCGGGCTCTGGAGCCCTGCCTGTCCCTCCATTGAGGGGCTCCTTGGCCTCAAACACAGGTGGAGAGCTGCTGGCTGGACCCAGGCGAGCGTGCACCTGACGGGCACCTGGCCCCATCCCACTGAGATATGCGTCTTGGCTCTCGGAGGTGAGCACCTGGCCAGGCACGGCCCACAAGCCTGGGTGACCCAAAATACGGTGCTCGGGGGTCAGGAGAGGGGCCTTCAGAGAGGGCGCTTGGGGAGCCTGACTGCCCTTCACCCCTCACTCACCTGCTCGCCTGCTCGCTCATCAGTCATTCATTCATTCGTTCACTCACACACTCATTCACTCACTCACTCACTGGCTCACTCATTCGCTCACTCACACACTCATTCACTCACACACTCACTGGCTCACTCACACACTCATTCACTCACTCACACACTCACTGGCTCACTTACTCACTCACTGATTTATCCACTTTCCACTTATTGAGCAGGATGTTCCAAGAACATTGCAGGTAGTCAATGAAAATAACTTTGCAAATGAATGAGTTGATTTTTCCACAAAGGCTGCGAAAATTAGAGCTGTAGCCCGTGGATGTGGAAATGGAGCCATGCAGCAGCTGGCCAAGGAGGAAGCAGCTTGGAAAAATCCCTCACAAAGGCAGTGTGTGCATGGAGTGTTCCTGGGGCTTTGACACACCGAGGGTAACAATGAGTTTTCGAAGCTAAGGGTGAGCAATACACAGCTGGGTGCCAGGCAGGAAAGGAGGTGGGCTAGGGGTAGAGAGCACCCTGCCCCGGGTGTCTCCTTGCCAGGAGGGCACAGTAAGCCCTCACCAATGTTCCCACGGGGATGGCTGTCTTCAGGGCCACCATCCCAGCTACAGGTGAAGAGTGTCAATAGATATTCTCGCTACTTTTTGGCCACTGACCTTGCCCTCATAGCTCAAACCCCCCCAGACCCACATGCGCCTGGGACTCACGGACCTCTGGTCTCCCACATTTATGCTCCTTTAGCTTCCTGACATCTCCTGTGACTGAAACATTTCGAAGCGCTCAGTGCTGCTCGTGTGTTTCCCCAGACGGCTCCTCCAACCAGCAGGGTAACCAGCTGCCTCCGCAGCGGTCCTCCCCTCCCAGACACGAGGGGCCGACCTTCGTGGACACATGACCCGGCCAGGCTCTCCCATCACCCGCTGACCATCCCACACCCGGCCCGTCATTTTTCCAGTTGTGTAAAGGAAGAGACAAAGTCAGAAGAGGGAAAGCAGCCAGAGGTACAGCTTCATCCGGGGTCAAAGAAGCCACGGGGGCAAAGTACCTGGACGGCTGTAGTGTTGGGGCGACCGTGAGGTCGGCGTGTAGCGCCCGAGGCTGACTGACCCAGTGGAGCTCGGGCTGGAGGTCCGGCACTGCTTGTACGAGCGGTCATCCTGATCCCCCTGGGAGGGAAGATGGCCCGGTGAACGGTGGAGCTGAGGGCGCTGCCCACCCCCCACGCATTCGCCCTCCTCCTGGCGGTTGCCCTCTGGACCAGAGAGGCTGACTCAACGTGGCCCCAGGACGAAATCCTCCGCATCCACCAGGGCAGCCCCGAGGAGCCAGGTAGGGGCCAGGCCTCGTGGCGACACCGCCCGTGGCCTGAGCACATCCCCAGTGCCCCCAGATCCCAGAAGGCAGAGTCTCCATCAGCCCCTCCCTACGACTGGGCTCTGGAAGAGGGGTGGTGGAGGCACTGGTTTCCCCCGGCACCCCTCAGCGCCCCTCCTGCCCCATCCTCCCCAGCACCCAAGCTCCTTACAACCACGACATTTTGAGATCTTCAAGAACCATGAGATTCTGCATTCTCCCCCCGCCTACCACCCAAGGGGGGCTCCCACGTGTGGGGTGGCCCAGTTGAGTCAGACCCACAAGCGCTGGCCCACGAGACTCCATTCAAGCAGGATGAGCAACGGCTGGGAGCAGTCAGAGCAGGCGACAGGTGGCGTGAGATGGCATGACACCATGGCGCAGGGGAAGGGCAGGTTGTTGGGCCCGCCACGGCGGGGCACGCTGGCCAGAGTCCTGGGACGGCCCAGTCCAGCAGCCCGCTGTGGGGGTATGCTCCTGCTTTGCCCCTGAGGCCAGCACAGGGGTAAGCACAGGAGAGGGGAGAGTCTGGGTTTGGACCTCGTGGCTCTCATGCTTTCTGAGCCGACCTTCTGCCTCCGAAGGCTTGTCCTTCGGCAGAACCCACTGAACCACTGTCCCTAACACCTGCCCGTGCCCCCACCTCCATGCTGGGCTCAGGCCGGTTCCCGTGCTGGGATCACACCCACCAGCTGTCACCTGGCTTCGTTCTGAGCCCACCTGGCCCATCCCCACCCACGGCGATGGGTGCTCTCTCCCCGGGGTGGCGGCATCTCTGGGCATCCTCCGCACAGCCCCACTGGCCAGTTTCTACCCCACGGGCACTCCTTCTCCTCGCTTAGCCTGTCCGAGGGCCTGGCCGGCCACATGTGGTTTTCGAAGCTCGGCACTGATGGCCACTCGCCCGGTCTGGTGGGCACATTCCTGAATCCGAGGGTTCGATGCCCATGCAGATGGGAGTCTGGTGGGCACCTGTCCATACCACTGAGTGGCTCTCGGAAATAGGAAGACAGAGCTGCGGACTATAAATGTTATTTGATAGAGAAATGCTCTCGGAATATCCGTCTGAGAGGATCTGGGTGCTCCATATGTCCCACTCAGAGCGGCGTGAGGTGGGCCCAGGCTAACCTGGGCTCCTGGGTGCTTTCTCTACAGGAAGCCACGAGCCAGACCTCGAGAGAGCCATGTCCCACGTGTCTGCCACTGCAGGGCCGACGGGTACACCACAGAAGCATGCAGATGAGACGTGATTATAAAAATAACCAACACCAAGGATGGCATTTCAGGCCACCGAGGACCATGGCCCCATGACCCAGATGGTCAAGAGCCTCAGAGGCCCTTCTGGGGGTGCCGTGGGCGGTTATGTTTATAACCCAGGTGGCAGCACCATGAGCAGGAGGGGGCGTTGGCTGGGGGGCAGGGGGTTACCTCCGTCGGCGTTGGTGAGAGTACCTGCGGTGACTGTGGATACAATACACAGAGTGGCCTGTTAGGTCGCTGGGGGTGGGGGCAGAAACAGCAAAGGGCCCAGACGCGTCCTCATGCCCAGATCCTCCTCCACACGGGAAAGGAACCCCACCACGAGACATGACGCAGGGTTCCAGAACCTTCTTTTTGGAGAAATACGGTCAATGGCACCCCAAGAAAGGGGTCCCCAGGACAACTCTTGGGGCCAACCCTGGAGTGTGCCTCCACAACGGCCCACCCTGACACCCGCTGCTCCCTCGCGAGGACATATTTTCCAAAAGGAAGACCATCAGTTTGGGGTGGGGGATGACAACATCCTCTGAGCCCGGCAGCCTTGGTTTGCCCCAGAGTGGAGAGACGAGGGGCCCAGAGAAAGGAGGGCAGTTCAGGGCCTCGGGGTTTGGGGATCCCCCCTCTCTGCAGAATGGAAAGGGAGAGTGTCCCCCAATCCTCCCATTTCATGGAACGGGAGGCTAAGGCTCAGAGAGGTGAAGGCAGGACCCCGAGCCTCCAGCGCGTTCTTTTCCCCGCTGGACTCCCACTCTGGTGGCCAGTGGCCGGAAGGCTGCCGTTCCAGAGAAGCGGGCAGAGCCACCCAGCCCTGAGGCCAGCGTCTGCTCAACTCAGTGCCCCGACCCTCCTTCTGGGGCTTCCCTGTCCCCACCCCATCATTTGCCCACAGAAGGGTCCGCACGGAGACCACCACCACGCAGGCTCCCGCCAGGCTGCGGCAGGGCCTGGATATAGGGGAGAGCCCTGGGGCTCCGAGATGGGGGGGCAAGGGGACTCTGACACCCCCGGGGGTGACGAAAGCCGGTGTGGAGGCCACGGTGGCCGGGGCTGGCTACCCCGGCCCAAGTGCCACCTCTGCCTCGGTGAGCTGCACAGCCCCGGGCCGGCACATCTGTCGCCCGAGCCTTGCGCCCTCATCTGCATCCTGGACACTCACTCCCGTGGCGCGGGGCCACGGGACATGGATACCCAGGAAAGCCCAGTGTCCGTGCAGAGTGAGCAGGCCAGAGGGGTGGGCGGCGACCCGGACGGTGGTGACACGGCTCGGCCACAGCAGTGTGACCTGCCAGGGGACGGAGGGAAGCACCCGTGGTTCACAGCGCGCCGCTGGAGGGGTGCACTTGCCCCACGCTGCTGTGCTCTGCTCGTGCGTGTGCCGACACTCCCAGCCCCGTGGGAGCAGGACTGAGGGGGACGACGCCCCACACCCACGTGCCCGCGTGGCCCTCCCCAGCCCAGGGCTCTGTGGCATTCTCAGCGAACCTACACACGGCTGAGGCCCTCATGAGCCAGTCTGCGCAGGAAATCTCAGGCTCCAACCAGGGAGGGTGGGGTGGCCCAGGGCTGCCAAGCGGGGGGGTGGGGAGCTTGAACCCAGGCCTCCAGATCTGGTTCCCGTGTCTTAGAGGAAGCATGAAGAGCAGCTAAGGAAACAGCCAGCAGGTGGTCTTTGGGGCAGAAAGGCCTGCATTTGTCTCGGCTCTGCTGCTCACTGCTGGGGGGAGCCTGACCAAGTCAGTGGACCTCTCCAACCCTCTTCAGTGCTGTCCACCAGAGCTCAGACCAGATGCTGGGTGATAAAGCCCCATGCATAGCTCGGGTACATGGTAGGTGGGGGCAGGTCGGGACCCCTCCCCGTCCCCCCTCTGAATGGGGCACGTCACCCACATCGTCAGGGTCCCGGGTGTCCCCTGCGGCACAAGTCAGCCAGGAGGGGCGCCTGCTGGCCGCTGAGCAAGCAAACGGGCGTCCTTGTCACCCTCCCGCCCTGCCTTATGTTCTGCAGCGGGGCCCAGCCTCTGTGACCACCAGCCCGCGGAGTGTGGCACCCCCGAGCCTCAGCCCCACTCCCAGAGAAGTGGACAGGAAGGCTCAGGGAGATGTGTGAAGGTCCTGGGTTCTCCTGCCCCGGGGGCGCACTGGTGCCCGGCCACCCACACGTGGACGGTACACACGCTCAGGCCACCAGCTGGCAAATCGCTCTTCCTACCTATCCTGGGCACCCACGGCCACACTCAAGTCTCAAGACCACCAAAGAGCAGGGAAAATCAACAGCGGACTCCACGTGAGATGGAGAGGAGCCGTGAGAACCAAGTCACTGGGGAAGGACACGCCCGAGGGACACCAGGGAATCCATCGTGTGTGGTCCAAACAGGTGGTCAAACCAGCGCAGGGGATTCATGAGACGGGGGGCAGGCCAGCTGCTGAGGACGGCAGCTTGCCTCCACACCAGCGTGTTTCCGAATTCCTCCCCCACCGAAGGAGACCCTCCGCGAGGGTGGGGGCAGAGCCCCTGGGGCCTCTTGAAAGGAGATGCGCGCAGGCCATCGGAGGGGATCACGGGAGGCCGGGGGTCAGAGGGGGCGGAAGTGGATGCGGCCCTTGCTGTGGGCACACCACCCGCCGCGGGGGCCGTACCTCGTGGCTGCTCTGCCTGCCCGCCGCAGAGTGGCTGATGTACGGCGAGTAGGAGATCATGTCGGGGCGGTCGATGTTGTAGATGGCCTTGCTTTTAGGAAGAGCAGCCAAGTCCCTGTAGTCGAGAATCTCATCGCCCAGCTTCGCCTGAGAGAGAACAGAGGGCACTGTACCCCACAGCCCAGAGGGCAGCAGGTGCTCTGGCGGCCGTGGGGACAGTGGGGCCCAGCCCAGGACCCAGGCTCCATGAAATGGGGTGAAGGGACAAAGGCACATGGCCAGGGAGTCCTCGTGGTCACGTGGGCCTGGGTCCCTCGGCCCCACCACGGAAGACCACAGAGTCCTAAGGAAGTGTATTCTCTGAGCCTCTACTCCTCTCAGATGGCCAAGTGGGACAGATGACTGCATAGGACAGCCCCAGGGTCAAAGAGGTAGAGCCTGTCACCTGTCTGGCACAGAGCCCAGCAGACACCGAGACTCAGCTGATGGCCTAAACATACCTACACACATCTATATATGCACACACACAAACCCATAGAAGCATGTAAACCACATATGTATGCATAGAGGCAAATGCACACACATTTATATCAACATGCAAATACACGGATGCATATGCATAATACCGACCCACAAACACACATAACATGCATGTGCACATGCATACACACCCATGTGTGAGTACATGCAAATGAAAACACCCATATACAAACGCACACGTGCAACAAACACACGTGCACACACATGCATGCGTACCTAAAACACGTGCATATGCAGACAGGCACGTGTGTAGGCACTTTAAAGTCACACACACATATGCCTGTGTCTGCATGCAAACACACGTGCTCATGCATGTGCACGCATAAGACATGTACATGTGCACGTGCATTTAAATACACACCTAGTGGGCGCATGTCTGTATGCGCACATGAAGCACTGTGTGTACACTTACACACACACATGCACGTGCACATAGAGAGCGTGCCTACGACAGAGCTAGTATATGCACTTACACACCTCTACCCACTCACTCCCACTGCCAAATGCTAGCACGCACACTTGCACAACTGGTATACGTCCACACCCCCTCACACACCCACACTTGCAGGCACACCACACACTCACTCTCCCACCCACCACTGCACACTAGCACATATGCTCACACACACTCCCACACCAATCCACATTCACACCCCTCATGCCCCCGAACTCACACCCACACATGGAACACATGCACATGCACACACTGCCATGTAATAGCACACGCTTGCACACATAATCACACTCACCCAAACCACCACACACTCACACACGTACTCGCACTCACACACGGTTGTGCACACACATTTGAGCTATAGCAGCAAAGGGCCCGGCACTGGCCTGGCTGGCTGGGATAGGACTGCAGACGGGGCTCGACCGCACCTGGCCCACGGCAGGTGCTCACGGGTGATGCACACGGAGCCATTGCATGTGCTCAGGTGAGGGCCACCTGACCACCCGCTCTCCTGCATCGCCTTCCCTGCGTCGCCCCACCGCTCCGGCCTACTGCCCCCACCCTGCCGCTCCTCCCTGCTCCAGGGGGATGCAGAGGGCATGTGGCAGGCTGAAACAGGTCCCTGAGCACAGCAGGACCACAGCCACACAACCCTCAGCTACCACAGCAGGAACCATCATCTGTGTCAGTACCCGTGTTCCTGCTGTGGCTGCCACCGTTCCCCTCCGTCCCGGAGCGGACACATGTGGTCACCTCTTCCCCACCATGCCCCCGCTCTCAGCAGTAATCTCAGCCTGGCCTTACCGGATGTCAGGCTGCCCCCACCAGCTTGGCTCTACCTGAACCCCAAGGGAAGCTTCTGCTCAACCCCAGCGTCCCCCAGTGACCGGGCCAGGGCCGGCGTGGGCCCACACTCCTCTCTGTGGTGGGACTAGCTGTCCCTTTCCAGACCAGGCGGCTCTGGTCCAGGCCCTCGGTGCTCACATCTAGGCCTGGCAAGAGCGTCCGGGGGCGTTCCTGCTGCACTTGCTCCGAACGGACCTCGCCGACAGAGGCTGCTAGCACTGTGAGCTCTTCCCTGGGATGGCCTTGACCTAAGCCTTTTATTATCCACTCACCAAAAACTCACGACAAGCCCGTGACGGGGAGCACCCACAGTTCCTTCCCTTCACAGATGCAGAAAGCAGAGCCCAGAGAGGTTAGGTAGCTCACCCAGAGTCACACAGCCAGGGAGGGATGGGGTGGGAAGAGGCCCGGGTTGTCGGACTCCAGAGCCGGGCTCCCCACCATGGCCCTCCTCTGGAGCTCCAGCTCCGGCACACTGTCCTCCAGCTCAAATCCTCCGGCAGGGTCTCCGGGCGGGCGACGCAAGCCCTCACTGCAGTCCCCAAATGCAGGGTTGACATTCCCGGCCCACTCCCCCTGAGGTATCTCCTCCCTGTGCCCCCAGCACGCCAGGCTCAGCCTTGGGTTCAGTAGCCCCAGCCCACCTCCCCTAGGAAGCCTTCCCTGACCACCCGACTCCAAGGCTTTCATGAGCTGGTGGGTGCTCTTGGGGTGAATGCTGCCATTTGTGACATAGGGTGAGAGAGGGAACGTCCGTCTGATGTCTCAGACCTCTGACTCTTCCCTGTGGAGCCCTGGGCAGGGTTCAGAAGACCTGAGTTCAAATCCTAAGTCTGTCATTTGTAGTCAGGTTGGGCCCTGATCAGAATTTCTGAGCAGTTCCTAGGGCCTCTTGTGCACCTGCTTATGCTAGTGGCCCACCCCTCTGCCCATATGGTCTACCACGGTGAGCTCATTGCGGCTCCCCGGCCGTCTGGAGCCTGACGGCTCAGCACCTGCTGCTCTCTCTCCCAGGCCTCTTTGCCCTCTTACCCGCTGGTTCTTCCAGACTCAGTCCAGGTCTCCCTCTCTGAGAGACCGTCCCCGCTCCCCTCCACCATTTGGGTTGGATGCTTGTCTCCTTTAAGTGAAAGTGCTGATGTTGGTTGGTGCACCAGTCTCCCCTTCTCTGGGGCTGGTGGTTTCTGGGGGTCCATGACTCGATCTGATTCACTACAGAGTCCCTCTCCCTAACTCCATGCCTGGCATGTCCTTGGGACATGCTTGCCAAACTGAAGTAAAATCCATGGGGCATTTGCCAAAATCAGGTGGATTCTCTGGACCATTTTACAAGACGAGACTACCACCTACATCTTGCCCACCTTCTGGATTTCATGAGCCTCAAATTAAAGCTGACACTGGAATGAGGGGCTGGGTGGGGCCTGCATTCACAGGTCTCTGCACAGGTGGACCCCCTTCCCTGCCTCAGACCCTGCTATGATCAGAGCATCGCCCATCTGCGGATGTCAGCCCACTGAGCACGGATCAGCGAGCCCTGGGTTAGCCCCTGCGGATCCCCAAACGGCACGGATCAGAGAGGTGGCCTGAGGGCACCAACACCGCTCACGCCTGCCCTGGACAAGTGGCTCTGCTCCCAGCTCCTCAGCATCTGCCCTGCGCAGGAGGCGCACAGATCCATTCCCTCCCACTGCTGGCCTTGGGGCGGTTGCCATGACAACGGGCTACGCTCTAATTGGCGGAAGGCCACTGGGACGTGTATATGTTCCCGTGATTTCTCCTTGCTTTTTTCTCTCCATACTCCGTCCAGCATGATAAACGATAATAACATGTGGCCATCGACGACAGTAGAGTTACAACAAGCTCTCAGTAATAATACACTGTAATGTAATAATGCTGATTTTCTGCTTTGCCTAGTTACTGATTTACTGCCATGCTGAAGAAAGGTTACAAACACAATATTCAGCATGACCTCATTTGGGTTAAAAAAAAATACAGCGCAAAGAGACCTAGGGGCGTGCTGCCCCATATGAGTGGTGGCTACTCTGGGTGGTCGGATAGCGCGTGGTATTCATCTTCTCCTGCGCTGCTGGGCTGCCCGGCAGCTGGGATCCTTCCAAAGCTGCAGCAGGGATCAGGGGCCCCCTCTCGAGGCCCAGCACCGAGCACGGTGTCAGGCACGCAGTAGGCGGAGAGACGAGAGAAAAAGCAGGGCAGAGCCCTGAGAGAGGACTCACGCCCCCTCGGTGAAGGAGTTCCGTGGATGTGCACCGACTGGGTGCTCACACCACCCTGATTTGGGGGGGGGGGGCGGACAGCCGGGGGCTCTGGCCCGTGGCCTGCCTGGCACCCAGGAGGGTGCTTGGAGCCCACGTGTTGCTACAGGACGTGTGTGCTCTTGGGCGGGGGCTCCGAGGCTTCGCGCTGTGATGCAGACGACTTTCTGCAGGTCTCTGAGCGGCATCTGAGACGTGGCTGCAGCGACGCGGGGAGGCAGGGGGAAGAGGGGGAGGGGTGCGGGGTGCATCGAATGTTCCACTGCACACCATCATGGGGCCTTTCAAGAAGCCGTGACCGCAGTGGCTAGCGTCACCGCTCAACACACGGTCACTACAGTACCTCGGTCCTTGTCAAACGCCAGATCATTTAAAAGAGGAGCTCACGCCTAGTGAGCGGTCACCATGTGCCGTGTGGCCACAGCGGCCACAGAAGCCGGGCCCCCCACTAAGCGCTCCACTGACCTTGTCTCACTGAAGTAACAGGAATCATAGTTAAGATCTTTCACGACATTGACGGCACTGTAGGCTGCATTACGTCCTGCCAAGTCCGTATTTTGAAGCCCTCACCCCGGGGGCCTCAGGTGGGACTGTGTTTGGAGATGGGGTCTCTTTCCAGAGGTGAGTAAGTGAAATGAGGTCACGAGGGTGGACCCCGATCCCATCAGACTCGTGACCTTAGAAGAAGAGACTAGGACGCAGACATGCACAGAGGGACGACCCCATGAGGACCCAGGAGAAGACTTCAAGCCAAGGAGGGAGGCCTCAGGAGAGCCAGCCCTGCCCACACCCGGATCTCAGGCTCCCAGCCTCCCGGACGTGGAGAGAACGCATTTCTGTGGTCGGAGCCACCCGCCCTGAGGGATTTACTTGCTACGGTGGCCGAGCTACGAGCGCAGATGTCATACCGATCATCATCGCAGTGAGCATTTGCAAAGTCCTCCCTCTGGCCCAGGGCTGCACTCAGGGCTCCCACGCTGTCCCTCCACGGGCCCTGGACAGCAGGTACTGTGGGTCTCCTCTGGTACAGGTAAGCTCTCAGAGGCTCAGAGAGGTTCACTCCTCACCCAAGGGCACACAGCTGGTCTGATGACTTCATAACCCCTTTCTGAGCCTCTGAGTGCACATTCCCAAAGGGCCATGCTGCGATTCACCTCGGGGCTCATGATCATCACGTTCCCCCAAGGACTAGAGTGCATGGTATTGTTACCCATCAGAATTAGGGTCAGGAATGACTCTGCATCCAACTAGTATGAGTGAGATTCAGGGCTGAAAAGGTGTCAGGAAGAGCAAATCCAACCCCCACTGTGTGAGAGAAAGCAGAGGTCCTGACCAGGTGGGAAGGGGATGGGAGAAGTGACGTGTGCCCCAAGACACCTGCTGTTCTTTGCAGTGGCCCAGCCAGGCCCAGACACCCAGTCCAGGGCCTGCCCTCCCCCAGCCTGCACTTAGAGCCTCAGACTCTTCCCCAGACAATGAACTTTGGCACTCACAGGTAAATTAGCAAAAACACCTCCCACTGCCGAACCTGCAGTCCAGAGGTCATTGCTATCAAAGAGCTCCCGATCACTTTATACTTGTATGTGCACACACACATGCCCCTATGCACATGTACACACCCACACCCACACACACTTGTACACACACCCATATGCACACACACTTGCACACACACTTGTACACACCTGTACACGCACACCCACACCTATATGCACATGCACATATACACCCATATGAACACACACCCACATACACATGTACACACACGGACGCACACACCTATATGCACACACACTTGTACACACCTGTACACACACCCGTGCACACACACCCATATGCACAGACTTGTGCACACCTGCACACACACCGTGCACACACCCGGGCACACACACCTATATGCACACACATACACATGTACACACGTGTACACCCCCACACACCCATATGCACACACATGTACACACACCCATACGCACACAGCTTGTACACACCTGTACACACACCCGTACACACACACCCATATGCACACACATGTACCCACCTGTACACACACCCATGCGTGCGCACACCTGCACACACACTTGTACACACCTGCACACACACACGTACACACCTGCACACACACGTACACACCTGTACACGCACCCGTGCACACACCCATATGCACACACACTTGTACACACCCACACACGCACCCATATGCACACACACCCGTATGCAACACACTTGTACACACCTGTACACACACACCCTTACGCGCACACACATACACTTGTACACACACCCATATGCACACATGCCTATATGCACACACACACTTGTACACACATATACCCCTTTTTGCGCACATGTGCACACATACACATACACTCTTTAATGAAAATGGGATCATGTAACATTATCTTTAACACGCTTCTTGTAGGAACACGTTGGAAACACTTCCCAGGTTAACAGGTGCAGATCTGCACCGCTTCTGGCAGCGCCTGCCCAGTCCTACATGAGCCTGAGTATTAGTTATTCAGACAAGCCCTAGCTGTGGGGCAGGGACGCAATACTGATTTGACAGCCCTGTGGACCACAGTTGTGAGCACATCTCTTTGGGCACCATCACTGTGTAACCAGGTAGTCCCCGGGTGGCACGACAGTCCTCACCGAAGTCTCTCAGTTAACCTCCAAAAGTCTGCAGCGGCCGGTGCCCTGTGGTGGGGCAAGAGTGCCGGCCCCACACCCTGACACCTGAGGACACCCCAGCCCCCAAGGGCACCCCAGCAATGACCCAGGCCCGGACCGTCCACCACCGGCCTCCCCACTCTCCAACTCACATAGATCACGCGGCTTGGAGACCCCGAGGTGCTGGAAGCAGGTACAGAAATGATGCTCTCGGAAGAGCTTCTGGTTTCCTGGAAAGGAGACAGGAGGAGAATGAAAGCAGAATATGTCGATGCCAGAACCTTCCAGATGCAATTATCACAGGTCACACTCCAACAGAAATGCCAGTTATGAGACTTTTTTTTTTTTTGGCAGGTTGAAAGAATTCTTAAAATAAACACACAGGCTCGAATGAGCCGCTGGAAAGCTATAATCAGACAGACACAGCAGGCGACACGGGCTGCAAGCATAGCAGCCAGCTCTCTGCACGGCTGGAAATGCTCCGATGATCACCCGGCTTGCACGCGCGGAAATTATCTGTGTTTTCGAGGACAGAGCAAGTGATGCATTTTCAAGTGGTTCTGTGCGCTCCGGTAGCAAAGGCCACCCTTTTACCCAGAATGTTGCTGCTCAAAGGTATTATTTTCCACCTAGATCATGGGGGTGGGGGTGATTGCTCATTCTAGCAGCCTGGTCCTCCACTCTTGGACTCCGCGGCCACATCTGTGACCTGCTCCTCGAACGTCCACCCCATCCCTCCTCCCCCAACTACATCTCCTGCTTCACCCCAGGGGACGGTTTCCCGGGCCCCCTCCTCTGTCCCCTGCATTGGGGCCACCCATCCCTGAATGGACACCCTCCTTCTCCAGCTCCAGCTCTATGCCTGCATCTCTCCCCACCTGTAGGGTGTGACTTGGCGGCTGCCCACCCCGCCTGATCCAGCCTCCACCCCTGCCTGGACCACCCACTGCCTGGCTTTCCCATGCCTCCCCAGCCAAGGACGGGGACCTGCCTTCCCACCCCGCGACAGCTCCCCCTGGCTGCCTCCTCTCTTGCCGCCATCCCTCTCGGTGGCCCGCGCCCCCTGCAGTGGTGTCAGCAGCCTGGGAAGGGCCACGTTACAGGCCGAATTACGTCTCCTGAAACTCATATGTTGAAGCCCTCACCCCTAGCACCCCAGAATGTGACCCTGTTTGGAGAAAGGACATTTAAAGATGTAATTAAGGGAAGATGAGGTCACTAGAGTGGGTTCTGATCCAAGCTGACGGGGGTCCTCAGAAGAAGAGGGGATCAAGACACAGACACGCACAGAGGGACGCCCGTGTGAGGACACAGGAGAGGGCAGCCGTCTACATGCCACGGAGAGAGGCCTTGGAAGGAACCAACCTGCCCGCATGCTGAGCCAGGACCCTCAACCTCTGGACTGGGAGAGAATACATTTCTACTAGTTGAGGGACCAGCCTGCTGCATTTTATGCAGTGGGCCCAGGACACTATCCTGGGCCGTGGAGCCCTCCCCTCCCAGCTGGAGGACCCCCAGCTCCTCCCTCACTCAGCAGGATAGCAGCAAGCACAGCACATCGGGAGCAGACGGGAGGCCTCCAAGGCCCCAGGGAACCTGATTGCGGCCCTGGTTGTGCATCTGGGGAGGAAAGAGAAGACGGAGAGAGTGTGATGCTCGGGGTCACCTCCTCACTCGCCCACGCATCAGTGCTGGTCTGTCACGTGGGGGCCACCCATGCTCCCAGTGAACGGCCAGCTTCCTCCAGGACCAGGCATGGGGCCGCCCACTCCCCTTGGGGCCCGCCCTGCCTCCCAGGGCCCCGACTGTGCCCCAGCGCTGGACGGGGCACTGACCCAGGCCTTCCGAGGGCCAGTGGGACACAGCCTGACCCCACTGTGCAGTCTCGAGTCCTCAGCCTCCCCCAGGCCAGACACAGCTTCCCATACTGTTTGCAGAGAAGATCCCGAGACAGCTAACGGGCGTGTGTCTCTCCCAGGCCCTGTGTGCAGGTGGCCCATCTTGCCAGGCCCCAAATGAGGTCCGTACACATTTTCTACATTTGGAAAAGACCCTTTCAGTCTCTGCTTCCTTCTCTATAAAAGGGAAAACCTCCCTAAAGGGCACTTTCCCTTTCTGAGGATCCGACTGGAGCTATGACATGCTGGGGGCCCAGTGCTGGCAAATCATCTTGGCTGTTACTTCAGCTCAGCTTGGGCTCAGGACAGTCTGTAAAGCAGACTGACTCCGGGTGTTTTAAAGGCAAGGGGTGCCTAAGCGGCGTGACCCAAGGACTGCCCCGTGCCCGAGGAGCACCTCCCGGCCCAGGGGTGCCACCACCATGACCAGGGCGCTTGGGCTGCCTCAGTGGCCGCGGGGGCTGGCTGTGCTCCCCAGGGCAGCCCCAGCGGGCAGCCCCTCCCCTCTGTGCCCTGTCCCCAGACGGGAGGGAGCCGAGTTCTGGGAGCTTCCTCCAGGGCCCGGAGACCCGGCTTCCTCTCACTTTCTATCTGGACTCCAACACACCCAAAGGAGCCTCACAATTAATCAATACCCAGTTGTGTTCTCAGGGGCTTGCTCACACCCACCGAGACAGACGGGGCCGGGCTGCTCGCCCAGCCCCAGCACCATCCCCAGCCTGGCCCGGACAGGCACCGTCCTGTAACAGCGACTAGGGTACCTAGCCTTAAATGCAGAGGAGCGCGTATTGGACCCCTTGCACCGTGTCAGGGTGACTCGTATGTGACCCTGTGAGAACCGGGTTGCCCGTCTCAGGCATCTCTGCGCTCCACCAGCTAGCCAGAAGGCGCTCCGCAGGAGCTCAGTGGCTAGCCGTGTGTGGAACGGTCACATGACCCAACGACCAAGGATGCACCAGGTCCGCGCCCTCAGCGGACGCCCAGGGGCCATCCTCGTCCTGGGGAGTGGCCATGCTCCCGGGGGATGCAGTCAGGGAGGACAGAGGGCCCTCCCTCTCCCAGCCTGTCATTGCAGGGATCCCGGCGCTGGCCTGTCCTGCTGGAGAGGAACTCGGAGGCACAGACCGACGTGGTCCTTTAGGTCCCAGAGCCTGGCAAGGGGGGGCACTTGTTAAATGACTGGTTACTGGTCAGTTAATGGTGAATTAGCTGTTGTCTGGATTACCAGGTAGCGGTAGAACCAGCTCCACCTGGGGGCTGCTTTCAGAGAGAGTTAGCGACGCCCGCACCACCTCTGCTGCATTTCTCAGGGGCCGGCCTCGGCGAGCGGACCCGGGGCTGACCCGGAGCTGACCTGGGACTCGCTGTTTCATGCTCCTTAACCGGCTTGCACCAAATGAACAGTACAGGAAAGTACAGCTCCGTCGTCCTGTCTTGCAGGCCAGGAGCAGCCAGTCCAGCCGGGAGAACTATCTGGAAGGGGACCCGTGTGCCAGCCCCGTCTGCTCACTGCCGGCCCCACCCTGGGTCTGTTCTCACTTCTCTGAGACAGGGCAGGCTCTGAGGGGCCGGAGGGAGGGAGGGAGGGTGAAACGCAGGACAAGCCGGCATGACCGGGGCCTGGATCCTGTCCCAGGACACACAGGGCAGGCCCTGTGTGCGCCAGCCTCGGGCACAGCACCAAGGAGGCAGCTCTTCTCAAGGGACGGCCTCAGCACCAGACGTTCCCGGGGCGTCTGCAGAGACAGAGCCCAGGAAGCCAGGCCTGGCTGTGCAATGACCCTTTCCTCCTTCCCTGTCCGGCATTCAGACGACCTCCCTACCTCTGGGCCCGTGACCGCGGTCATGGCGGGCTGACCTCTGGGCTGAGAGCAGAGGGGCCTGCTGCTGCCAGGCCTGGCCAGAGCTGGGCTCCCTGCAGGCCCCGAGGCCAGCTCCACGGCCGGCTCCAGAATCCAGGGGCAGGGCTGGCCGTTCCGACCTGTCCTTGAGGGGGCCGGCCGCGGGCCTGAGTCCGCCTTTCTCACCCGGCCATTCTCAGGGAGATGGGCCTGGAGGCTTCTCAGCACGTGGGCTCCCTCCAGGTCCCTCCGGCAGGCCCTCGGGTTGGGATTCGGGGAGGGGACCACCGACAAGTGTCAGGACCCTGCAGTCACTTCTAGGTCAGGGATGCTTCCTGGCTCATCTCTGAGGCCTGGAGTAGCCCGGGGGCGGTTATAGAGGGGATCGGGAGCTATGTCAGCCATGGGAGACCAGGGTGCCCCTGCCACTTACCGTGACCCAGGTCATGTACATGACCAGCTGGGCATTTCCTGCCCTCCACGAGCACATGAGCATGCCCACGCCTGCGAACGTATTACCACATGCGACCACAGGCACTCCGAGCCTGATGTGACTAAGGAGCCTGAGGTGGGAGGTCACTCCCGATGACGTGGGTGGGCTCCCTGGGATCTCAGGGGAGGGGGGCACGGGGGAGGGGGCCAGGGCACAGGTGGTGACAGAGGCAGGGTCAGGAGCAGACCGTGCGGCCTCCAGACCCGGGAACGGCGGGCGAGAAGTTTGTTCCTGGAGCTTCCAGAGCGAGCACGACCCCACCCACCCATCCTCAACTTCCGGCCTCCGGAAGGAAGGGAGTACATCTGTGGTTCTTTAAGCCACTAAATGTGTGGTCATTCGTCACAGCAGCCCCAGGAACAAATACAGTCACCAGCTTCCTCCCGTAGTCTCCATGCTCTGCGTCCCTGGAGCTGGGAGGTTGGCTGTCACGTGGATCTCATGTTCACACAGCTTCCCACCCCCCCAGCACTGGGCGTGGGACGGGGCTCATCTTGCACATGCTCAGTGCGAGCACCCTGGGCCCCCTGGCAGTGGGGGGCCTCGGGGCCCAGGCAAGGGGCGGCAACCGTGGTCCCAGAGATGGAGGAGCAGGGGCAGGGGGAAGGTGGGGCAGGCGCCCTCGGCCCCAGTCCCAGTGTTCTAGAATTCGGGCTACAGTTCTGCGGATTCAGCCCAGCTGGTGGCAGGTGTCACGTGTGTGTCTGGGGAGCAGTGGGCCTGGTCACCGGATCCCCCCCGAGGTCCCTTCCCAGGCTGTGGGGCTTCCTGTGCCCCTTGCTTCCTTTTGCATGGTCTGAGAGGATACTCGGGTGAATGAGGATCAGACACAGGTGTGGCCTAACCCAGGGTGCAGGGGCCACAGACCTGCCCTAGAGCCCCTTGCCCCTGCCCTGCAGCTCCTGCTGCTCCCTGTACCCCGGGGCTGGGACGCCCGGGCCTCCAACCCTCAGGGCCCCTCCCTGTCTGCACCCCCAGGCCCGTGGCTTGAGCAGCATCCAGCTGGAGGTCTGTGCCCACCATGGCTAACGCGGGGGCTCTCCAGGCCAAGCACGCCTTCTCTCTGTGGGCATCAAAGGGGACCCTCTGAACCTGGATTAAACCAGAGGCCTGTGTAGACACTTGAGGACTCTGAGCAAAGCAACCGGCACCGCTTGAGAAATAAGGTCACAGAGGAAGGGCAGGGCTGGCCCTAGAGAGGCGGGCCCAGCCTGGTGTCCGCAGAAAGGGGTTGAGCAACAGCGTGAGGCTGTCGCAGGTGAGGGGAGGCCTGGAGGACACAGAGGAGGTGCCTCTTCTCCAAGGAGCCCTCCTGCCCCGGCCCAGGGCCCCCCGGTGCTCAGGTCCCCATGGCCGTCAGACGTGACGTGCGTGTGTGCCCCCCATGCCCAGAGCATGTGGGGGCAGGACTCCATCACCTCTCTGCCCTGGGCCAAGAGCAGGGCCTGGCACAGCCAGAGGCTTGGTGAGGTTGTGCTGAATACCTGAGGGTGTGCCACGAGAGATGCATGGGAAGCGGGGGCTTCCAAACCCACCGGAAGCAATTTCTAAGGGAAATGGGGGTTGTCCCTCTGCTGGCGTCCTTCAGCGCAGGCCTATTGAGAGTTTGCCGAACTGGGTTGGGACCCACCCGTCCGCGGGGGCCGGTATGGGGGGAGGGTCTCCTCCACCAGCCAACATCCCTGTGAAGCTCAGAGGCCCAATCTGTGGGGTCTCCCTCCAGCCCCACGAGAAATTCCCAAAACCTGCTAGTTCTGGGGATGGGCCCAGCCTGGGCTTGCTGATAGGGCTGTGTCCACGCTGTAGAGCTAAGGGTGAGGGGTCTGTCCGCCCTGCCCGGGGCCCTGCCTCCAGGACCGCCAAGTCTCATCCTGCAGGCTTAGCTCCGACCCCATTTCCTCCGGAGGCCTTTCCTGACCGTGCATCCTGCCTCCCCTCCTCCCGTCCACTGGTGTCCTCGGTCTCCCACCACCAGCCTTCGCTGCCAATTTGCTTGTGTAGGGGTCAATTTCTGTCTCTCCCTGGAACGTCAGTCCCGAGAGGACAAGGTCTGTGCCCACCTCCTTCCTCACCTGTGCCTGGCGCCCAGCTGGGCCTCTGAGCGGTAGAGAATTTGGCCTCGCCCAGAGAGACATCTGGCCTGCACCCTTGACCCTGGAAGGTGATCTGTGTCCACTGTCAGAGTGTCCGTTCATGGAGGGGGTTAACCACACCCAACAGTCTTAGGATGGGGCCCGGCCACACTGGAGAGACCAACCGTGTGATCTGGGGTGGTCTAGGGTCATGCCACCTGGACCTAGTGAAATCAGCACTATGGCCATCAGTCAGTCAGTCAGTCAGTCAGTGGAGCCCCAGTGAGATCTCTGGACACAGAGCTGCCCTGCTGGGCAATACTCCGGGCATGCGGTCCTGCACGGGCCGGCAGGTCCCCCGTCCAGTCTCCAGGGCAGAGGAGCAGCTCTGTGTCTGGCCCCCTCCCAGACCCTGCGCCACACGCCTCTGTCTTCGGCTCATTCCACGCATATCCTCTCCCGTGATAAACCCCAACCGTGACTATCACAGTTTTCGGGGAGTCTGTGAGTCCTTCCCACGAATGACTGAGACTGATCACAATTTGGGGCCCCTCAACCTTGCAGTTGGTGTCCCAAGTGTGGACGGTCTGGGGACAGTTTGGAGACCCGCTCATGTCATAGCTGTCCCCAAACTTTTGCAGCCCTCATGCCCTCTGGACCCACGGAGAGGTCTGCGGGCCAGGACAGGGAGGCCCCGAGACGTCCCGCCCCACCTTGCACCGTCCTCAGCACCCCCAGGCCTCATGACACCTGGCCCGTGGCCTCGTGTGACCGGCCAGCGAGCCGTCAGATGCGGGTGACGGCACACGGGCGCCAAAGAACGCACTGGAGCAAGGAGTAAATTCCACCAACCTTGTTTTTGTCTTCAGTTCTGGCTGCTTGTCGGCACGCCGGGTGCCAGATGGAGGAACCTGCGGACAGACCCCCAAGAGGGAGGGCTCAGTGTTACTTCCCACGATGCAGACACTGTGCAGGGAGTCAGAAGTGGGGAGCTGGTAGTCCACACGCGGACGCTCTGCTGGAGGGGGTGCTGGGTCTCGGGCCAGCAGATGGCCGCCTGGCTCCAGGGGCTCATGGCCCAGTTTGGGGGGCCGGGGATGTACAATGAACGGGAAACGCATCACTGTGAGCCCTGGGGACACCCGGGGTGCCCAGAGGAGGCTTCTTGGAAGAGGGGTGTCAGGTGGCTTCTCGTTCAGAGGTGGAGGAGAGAGGACAGGCTGCCCGTGGCTGCGGGGGGAGCAGCCAGGCCCAACCACGGGCACGGCTGGGGCTGGGGCCAGAGCTGGGGTGGGAACCAGCCTCGGGAATGGGAATGAGGCTGGGGGGCAGGAGGGGGAGGCTCAGGTGGGAACCGGGCAGTGGGGTGAAGAGCAGGGCCGGGGGCACGAGGCTCCAGCCCCGAGCCTGACTCTCTCACTGACTCCCTGGGTCCTGAGACCGATCCTGCCTCAGTTTCTTCAGCAGCCAGTGTGGCCCCGCCACCCACGCCAGCATCCAGCACCATCAAGGTAACAAGAGCACCAAGGGCCCCCCGTGCCCCGCCCTTTCCTCATTCGAACTCAGGTTCTCCAGGTGTCAGATTTTCCCCATCTGCAAACAGGGCTGATAACGTTCCTCGCTCATCAGGCCAGTGGGAGAATTCGATGAGGTAAATCTGGGGTAATAACACACCGGAACGGTGCCTGGTGGACCGTGGCATAGGCGTTCGCTCTATTACCGCAGTATGTCCAGTGCGGGTGGGCTTGGCGCGTGTCAGCCCTCCCTGCGCCCCATCTTTCGGGGCCCGGAGCACCTGCTCTCCCTCCGGGGCCTCCCTGGATCTCAGCCTGGCCCCTCGCCCCCTTGGCCGCCGCAGCTCTGTGTCTAGGTTTATACCCCATCAAGGAGGGGGCTGTGCCTGTTCCGTGCCCCCCCCCACCCCGCCCAACAAGCCACACAGGGCCTGGCACGTGAGAGGCACTTAAAAGTGTGTGTGAAGGAAAGAGCGACGTCCTATTTCTTGCTTGCAAAGCCTTCCAGATCGCATGAACTAATGGCCAGGAGGGCAGTTTATTACTGCCTCGCTCTGGCAAAAAGTCTGCATCAGCCCGGAGCTCCTGGGGAGACCACGATTTAGGGTGTGTGTGTGTGTGTAAAACATTCATTTTTGACAACTATGATTACCAAAGTAATAGGTAAGTCATTGATATTCCTTATTAAAGAAGACACCAAACAAAGTATAAATAAGAAAATTAAAACCGCCTATAACCTCTGAGCCATTCTGCTCGGGCAGCTTTTTAGCATTCCCGTGCATTTTTCAGAGAATGTGGATAATGTTGTACATAGTTTTATGTCCTACGATTTTTGTTTAAAGTGTCTAGAACGTTTCCCCCATGTAATTAAATATCAGAAGCACAACCGTGAGGGCCATGCAACATCCCACCACATGCCCTGTGGCGTGGTGGATTAGAGAGGCGGATAGAGAGGAGGATTTATCCGTCCCTCGCACGCTGGTTGCAGTGTTTTATTTCTAAAGTCACGTTGGCGGGGGTGGGGGGGTCCCATGGCACGCAAGTCCCAGCACACCCCTGTCATTCACTTAAGGACTTCCTAGAAATGGAGTCGTGTGGACATTAAGGCTCTTGATGCATTCTGACAATTTCCCAGTTTTTGCCACACCGGCCAGGTAGGAGGCCCATTTCCTTGATTCCTCACAATGGGGACACGACCTTCCTTTTAGTCCTTGTCAACCCAATGGGGGAAAGTAGTATCTAATTATTTATCTAATTATTCTCTTCATCTGGGTCTCCCTGATCATTACTGAGCATCAGCAGCCCCTCCCCTATATCTACTGGAAAGGTGTGCCCCATGGTAGGTGGTGCTGGTGGTGGCGGGGAGGGGCCGGGCTGCCCCGTCCTCCTCGAAGGCCGAGAGGCTCACTGGGACCCCTGCTTTTCAGAGCTTCAACTGTACGGGATTCACCTGTCAGCACCTTCCTGGCGCTCCAACATCCAGGTGGACCAGGCAGAGGGTCTCAGGGTGTCCGGGCTGGGCGGGGGCCAGACCCCCCCTCCACAAAGAGGCCCTGGCCAGTGTTCCAACCCAGGTCCAACCCTTGTCACACCGACAGGGAAATCTGAGGCTGGGAGAGGGGACGGGACTGGCTTCCATATCCCACAGAAAGTCATGGCAGGACTCGCTTTAGAAACGGGGTACCAGTCACAGCCCAGAGACGTGAAGAGCGTCTCTATTCCCTGAGCCTGGGTCCCTCTTGATGGCCTTGTCCCCGTGCTCTGGTCCCAGCCCATCGTGCTGGGCAGCAGAAAGGCCTGAAAGCGCTCTTTACAGTGGGGGCGACGCCGGAGGGGGCCCCCTCCCGCCCAACGTCCCAGCAGCAGTGGGAAGGACGCAAAGGGCCCCTTTCATGGGCTCTCGAGCAGAGACTCAGGAAGACACCAGGGATGAGGCTGGCCTCGCGATGTCACCCCACGAGCTGGGCTCAGAAAGGCAGGCCTGTGTGACACACAGCCCCAAGACGACCGCCCCATGAGGTCATGAAACAGCCTGTGCGTGGCTCTCCCATCCGCCCGGCCCGGCTCGGCCTGCCTCCGGGGTCACTGGACACAGACGGATCATTGAAGAGAAACAGTGGCTGCAGAGATGGGGTCTCCAGACCAAGCCATCGTCTTGGGGAGGGGCTGAGCCTCCCCGGGCCGTCACCAGGTCTCGTGGCTCTGCCTCCCGCCTGTTGCCACCGGGCCGGGTGGGGGGCTTCCCAGCTAGAGAGGTGACACAGGCTACCCACCAGTTCCCACCCAGCACGGGGCACGGGCCCAGGGCATGTTCCTGTCTTGCCCTATAGGGGACAGGGCAACGCGGTTCTGTCCTTACCTTGAAGATACATCTCCTCGCCTTCCGCAAACATCCGGCCGCACCGGACGCATAGCGCACACAGTGGGTGGTAGTGTTTTTCTCCTGCCTGTAAAGACAACAAAACAGGTGTTTCTACCGAAGCTAAAGGGGCCACGGAAGCAGCCACACTTGGCTGGTGGGTACAGTGTGCCCACATGAGGGATCCTCAGAGGATGCTAAGTGTGTGCTATGTCCCATATCCATTGGGGTCTCAGGATGGCACCCGAGAGAGCCTGGGTCCACTGGGTGCCCCCGGGCTGTCCAGGGCACTAGGTGCGGAAGCAGGCCACATGCCAGGGGCCACATTTGGGAGCAGAGACCCAGCTGCACCACCCGACCTCCAGGCGAGCAGGGGTGTCACCCAGCTCCTCCGGCCCAGTGGTTGACGGATCTGCCTCCCTCATGGGGCAGGGGGGCCAGGTCCTGTCCGTCTCTGTACCGGAGTTGGGGGGGGCAGCGGGAGAGGGCAGAGGGGAGGCCGAAGCTAACGTGACGCTCCAGGTGCAGGCACCAGAGGTGTGGGCTGTCTTACGCATCTCCCTATTGCTCAAATTTCTCAATTAGCATTTACTGTTTTTATGATCCTTAGCATCCATTAAATTAAATGCAAAGATTAATACAGACCTAACGTCAACTAATCACACTGGCTGGCGTGGCATAGTTCCGGACAGCACAGAAGAATCGCTCCAAACTATCGTACTCGGCACCCCTCCAGCGTTGGGGTAAGGCGGGCGGCAGCCGGCTGCCGGCCGTGGTGCTAACGCCACATTTCAGTCTTCCCTGACCCGGGAAGACCCGGTGACCGCTTCCTGAATGTGAGTTAGTAATAGCACTTCCGTGGGTGAGCACGGCACACACGCACCTCACTCTCCTCCCTCACCACTGAGCCGTCCGTGAGCCCCTGCCCCAAGGTGACCCCTGTGGCGGGGAGGAGGGATCCCGAACACGCTCCTCTCCCACGTGACGTGCCCCGCGGCACAGCCCACCGATGCGTCCGGGTGAAGGGACTCTTCCCGGGGAGTGCAGGGATGCTGCGCCCTCCGTCCTCCCGCCTGCTCTGGAGCCTCCTCCGGATCGCTCCGCAGGGAGCACCTTCCCCCGCTCCACCTGCCGGGACCCTCCCTGTTCTTTATCGCAGCTCAAATGCCGCCTCCTCCGGAAAGCCTCCCCCGCACACATCCCTGGTCTGGGCTCCTGCTGGTTTCTCCTTCCCCACTAGACAGGGAGCCCCTCGGGGGCCACGCCTACCCAGGGCCACTTCAGGAACCGCTAGCTGGCGGGTCCTTTCCAAGTCGAGGGTCACAGGGCAGCACGGGCCCAGCAGAATGAGGGCGAAGCAGTCATTTCGGCGATTTTAAGCATTGTGACCTCTGACCTGTCCTCATGGCTGCGTCACCCGGGCCCCCTTCTCACTGGTGGGGGACAACCCGCATGATCTCAAACAGCAGGAGTTCTGCAACACCACTGAGGGAGACAGACCCTGGCGTCTACACGGGGCGTCTACACCTGAGTAGGAGGAGAGAGAAAACCGTGGGGACAGTTTCTAAGACGACAGGCTTGAAATCCCAACTGCACGGATGAGAACGGACACAGAGCGGAGATGCAGCCCCGGGCTGCTGTGAGGGGCCGGCCCTGCACACATAGTCTTCAGCCTTCAGGGAAGCACTCCCACCCAGACCTGGCAGACACCCCCAACCCCCCCCCCAAAAATAACAGCAACTCCACCACCGTTTCCACAGCTCGAGCCGAGGCCCTTTCACACACTACCTTGTCTTCACCCTCCAGAAGCCCTATGAGCTACATTATTACCCTCATTTTCCACACGGTGCACAGAGAGGTGGAGGGAGCTGAGGAAGGTCACACAGCACAGAGCTGGTGGAGCAGGACTGGAGCCCAGGAGCGTGGCTCTTTGTGGCCTCCCAGCCCCCAGCCTGGCGGTCCCAGCTCTCGGGGGCTGACCCCAGCCTCACCTGCTCCCCAGTCCCCACCCTGGACAGTCCACAGGGAAACCCTGAGATACCCAGGAGGGAGGAAGGAGGCAGACACTGGAGAGCACAGATTACATTCACACGAAGTGCAGAACCAAGCTGACGAGTCTCCTTTATTAGAGTCGGGGAGGCGGCCGCCCTGGGGTTCCCAGGGGCTGGGCACGTTCTCCTTCTTGATCTGGGTGCTTGTCACACAGATGTGTCCGGTTTGTGGACACCGATCAAGCTGTAGGATTCATGTAGGATTCATGTAGGATTCACGCACACCTCTGTGTGTCTGACACACCAGCAAGACCCACAAAGTGGATTGATGACTGAAATTAAGAGCTAAAACTATAAATCTCTTAGGAGAAAACAGGGGTGCATCTTCACCACCCCAGGTTTGGCAGTACATTCTTGGATTGGGCACCAAAAGCATGAACAGCAATAACAAAAATAGGTATGTTTTTTCTCACAAATATCAAACTATTGTGTATCTGAGGACATGGTCGAGAAAGTGGAAAGACGGCCTGTGGAATGGGAGGAGACGTTTGAAATCCTAGACCCGGCTTAACATCCGCAACATATAAAGAATTCTTACAGCTCAATGGCAAAGAGACAAACAGTCCACTTAGAAAGTGGGCAAAGGACTCGAATAGACATTTTTCCAAAGAAGACACACAAGTGGCCAAGGAGCACATGCCAGATGCTGGATGTCACCGTCACGGAGGAAGGGTAAGTTCAAACTGCCATGAGACGCCACTCCACACCCTATAAGACAGGACACCAGAGTTCTGTCTCCACCATGTGAGGGCACAGGGAGAAGGTGGCCGTCTACAGGGCAGGCAGCGGGCCCTCCCCAGGAACCGAAGAGGCCGGGCCGGCACCTGGACGGCAGACTTGCTGCCCCCAGCACGGACAGGAACGCCGCCTGGGGTTTCAGCACCCAGGGCCCAGAATGGCTGCAGCAGCTCTGGTGGACTAAGACCCGCTATAGAGTCCAAAGTCAAAGCACCCTGGCTCCTTGTATCGGGCCCCATGGTCACTCACGTCCTCTCCCCCGGTGGCCACGGTGACCGGATGTTCCACGTCATCCTGAGGCTGCTGCAGCCCCTGCCCTTTCAGAGCCTCTCCTCCCCATTCCTGTGCACTACGGGCCGGGAGCGTCAGCACCTGGAGTGTGGTCTGTGCAACCACACAGCCCCCAGCCGGGCAGATGGCCCAGCCCTGCGCCAGGTGGGTCTCAAGATGGCTTGGATTTCTGAAGAATACTAAAAGCTCATGAGCTTCTGCAGTGCGTGGTTTTAAAGTGACGTGTGTGCCTCCGACAAGGGGCTGTCATCTTCAATAAGACAGAACAAGGCTCACGAGGAACGCAGGAAGGCGGGCTCCAAGGGCCTAGAACAAGCACTGCTCCTTACTCAGGACCAAGTCAGCGCGGGGGGACTGGAGCATGTCCCACCGCCGACATGCAGGGCGCGGCCAGCCCCGGGGACTTGGGCAGTGTCTCTGGGCTCCAGAAGCTCCCACCCCACACCCGGCCGTGGGCAGCACAGAGGGACATGCCCTGCAGGGGTGGGAGGCAGGCATCCCCTCACCCCTGGCCCCTTCTGCTCCCTGGACAACAGCCTGTGCCCCCGTGGCCCTCTGCGTGCTCCCCTGGATGCCAGGCTGCAGAGGGCCTCCCGTGCCACTCCCGTGCCTCCACCGGCCCGAGGCACAGCTCCAGTGTCCTTGTTGAGCCGCCAGAACTGACTCCAGGTCTGAAAAGACCTCATCTCCAGTGTGCGCTGAGATGATGAAATGTACCGCGAAGCTAATGAAAAAGCCTTCAGCGGAGTGTTTGGCAGCTGCGCAGACTTCCCGGATCGGCTCCGTGACCTGCGACCCCCCAGGAGCTACGTCCCCCCTGGGAGAAGAGCCCAGCTCCTCACATGCAGGCCCTGCGGGCGAAGCCCTGTGCAATCGGTAGCCCCCTCCCCAGAGCCCCTGACCTCACCCCTGCCACTGTCCCCCCATCACTGACCCCACGTGTTCCCTCTCGGCTTGGGGTCTCTGCCGTGTCGCAGACACTGTGCCATGCATTTATCTGTGTATGTGTACACACAATCTAGAACGGTGATTTCTAAGTGCTAACAGTACTTCGTCTGGGGGGTGGCATTCATTATGGATGATTTTTCTGTTTATTTTATGATAAGCAGGTATTGCTTCTGAATATGTTTTTTTTTAATTAAACACATTCATCAAATTACAAAAAGAGAGGGAGAAGTGGGGCCTTGGGAAGCTGACTTGGTTTCCGTCCTGAGGAAATGGTTTTATTTCTTTGGGACATATTTTCTCCCGTTGATAAAAGTCATACCTGCTTAGGAGGGTAAAATGGAGCCAAAATGCCAAAGGAAGACTGATGTCCTGCAGCCCCAGGGGATGGTTTATTTGAAATGGAGAAATGTTTAGGGGCTGCCTGACCCAGGGCAGGAGGTGCCTGTGAGGCCCCCCTCCCACCAGGGCTCCTGGGGGGGGGGGGCGGCGCGGTGCAGGCTGGGAGCCCAGTAGCCCCCAGCCCGGGACAGGGGACACAGGGAGTGTTCAGAGGGTCTGTAGGTGAGTGGTGGGTTAAGGAAGAGAGAAGGGAAGGCGGGGGCAGCGGGATGGAGAGAGGGAAGGAGGAATTAATTAGTCGTCCCAGAGGGACCCTGGGCTTCTCGTTACCATGGAGACAGGCAGGCTGCACCATGCAGGTGAGGCTCAGACAGCAGCACCAGCACTGCAAGGGTTAAGGAGGGCAGGGCCCATCCCCGCCCCCGCAACTCCCACCTGTGCAGGGAAGCTGGAGGCCAGCCGCAGAGAACAAGGCAGGGGTGGGGCGAGGGCTGAGCCAGGGACTCCCCTCGCCCCCCTCACTCAGCACCCCCTTATGGAACTCTGGGTCTAGCTGGTCTGGTTACACCGCTGTCCAGGGCAGACAGTCCCGTAGCCACCTCTTAGCTCTCTCCGTGGGGGATTCCAGCCATGCAGAGGACCGCCCCAGGCCCCCCAGCTCTACCCCCACACCCCAGCCCTCCCCACATTCCCAGCCTTCCGTCCATCTCGGCAATAGGGTGGGGGCAGACAGCCCCTCCCAAGTCCCCCCCAGACCCATGAGGCTCCTGCACCTGCTCCCCAGCATGGAGCCGCCTCCCCGAGACAGACACCCCGAGACAGACACCCCGAGACATGCAGGATCGGGGAAGACACCGGGAAGACAGTGCTACATATTCAGGAGTAACTAAGGAAGGGGGAGGAAAGGCCCCACCGTAGCCCTGGGATGCACATTTCACGGGGGGACATGCAGGCGCTGCTGGCAGCTGGCATCAAGATGGCACTGTGCCCGCCGCACACAGACGCAGCACAGATTGCTGGCTCCTGCTGGCGGGGAAGGGGGCCTGGGCTGCTCTCCTGCTCGGGCTCCGAGGACAGGAAAGCTCGGAGTGGAACAAGCATCTGGTGGGGGACAAAGCGGGGAGGGGTGACAGGTGCCCCAGGGAGTCTCACCTGGCCGATCTGTCCCAGCTCCCTGAAAGCCCAGCCACCTGCAACCCCGCATGGCTCCTGCAGCCTCCCCATCAGCCCTCCGAAGCGCCTGGCCAGGCCTCCTACCTGCACGGGGTCCTCGCAACAGAGCCCAGTCCGATGGGTCGGCCAGCCCCCACAGCCCCTCTCCAGTGCCCGCTCCCCAGGCAGGTCGGATGGAACGGGCAATGAGACCGTGAGGACGGGCACGCTCAGCCTTCAGCCAGAGGTCTGGATCCTGTTCCTTCTTTTTCAGATCCTGCCACCTACTGCCCCCGAGAGCCCACTGCCCGCCCAGCGGGGCGCTGGCACACCCGGGGCCAAGTTCAGGTGGTGGCGAGGCGGGGGGCGGCGGCTCCCCGCCTCCGGAATCGGGCTCGTGTCTGCCCGCCTGCAGCTGCCGCCTGGCAAAGGAGGATGCTCAGAGCTTTGCAGAGCCCGCCGCCGACTCAGCCACGCCAGGGAACTCGCGAAAACAAAAGCATTAATCTTCCCTGGGAGGCCCTTTATCCCCCACCACTGACAAGGAGGAAAATCCAGACCTGTTTTTCTCCTGTTCTTCGTCATTAAGATGGTCCCTTCCTGATGATAAACCGGAGCGCACTGGAGGGGCTCCGTTCGCAGGCACTGAACCCCCACATTCTATATTTGGCCCAGCATTAAATATCAGGGACACACGGTGCACATGGGGTCACCGATCCAGGGGAGGCCCGCTGATTACCTGGTGACAATAAGGAAGCCCCTAACGCCCAGTGTTAACCACGGGGCCAGCACTGAGCTGGGGGACACTTCACAGACCATGTCTCATTCAATCCCTGAGGTACTGGAATGTTCTCTTGCTCAGCACAGAGCTTGCTGAGGGCAGGCAGCAAGGTTGGGGTCAGGTCTCCACCCCCGCCCCCACGGTGCAGGGGCCGATGCCAGAGGGTGCCAGGAAGCAGGTCAGGCTAGGTCCACACACCAGCAGCAACAGCAGCTCAGCCCACCTGAGCCTGAGATGCACCCCACTTTCTGCCATCACAGGTGGCACGGTGCTAAAACAACAGGCAAACCGGCGTCTACACCCAGGGAGAGGCCGCACGGTGGGGAAGGAACAGGAGCCAGGAGCCTGGGGATCCCGGGTTCAAGTCTGGCTCTGCCACCGGCTCGGGGTGGTCGACGGTCCAGCACACGTGTGTGGGAGCCCAGGAGAGAGTAGAAGGTCTGGACGGGGAACAGAGACACGTGGTTTGAACCATTGGCAGTGGGGCAGGGGGGTCCCTGTCCCTAATATTTAGAGCGCCATGGGGTCCTGGAAGAGGGTCATAGTCTCCATCCACATAGTCAGAGGATGTGGGTATCAATATTACATCACCACCCAAGACGATACATACAAGATGACCGCAGACTAACTTCATCATGTGACCCACAAGCGCAGACGGAGCTGATGACCTTGAAGAACCCACCCCATGAAGACCCGAGCCCCGTGTAAGCAGGCAGCACGTGGGAAGTAGCTAATGAAGGCGCTGGGGTCCATTCAACCATCAGAGGGACCGGCATCGAGGGACAGAAGGAAGTCACGAGAGCGAGTGAGGACCCACGTTCTCGGCTGCAGACCGGCATGGATTTCATAAAGACTACATTCCCCATGGGGGCGGGGGCACCACACTCTGCAGATATATGAGCTATGTTCCAATACAGCTGCTTAACCAAAAGGCCCAATGTACCCCAAACACACCAAAAAACAAACAAACAAACAAACAAACAAACAAACAAAACAAAAACAGGGGAACCTGCTAACTAGGAAATGCGAATTGGACAAACTCAGAATATAATGTTGTACCAACGGTTTGGTCTCACCTAGAATGACATGGAGGCAGAAGAACCTGGAAGGAAACCAGCCAAAGGGTTCAGCTACCTATGATCGCATTATCTGTGATCTCTCCCCCACCCCCGATTTGTGCTCTGTACACTCTCCACGGACCATGAGTGTGTAGTCACACCCCCCCTCAGGCCCCTCCACAGAGCCTGGGCCCTCCCACTGGGCGCTGGCCTGAGTGGGGGTTCCCACGCTGGGAATGAGGGGAGAGGCGGCCCTGCCCTGTGGGTTGGGTGTGACACCCCCCCTCCCCTTCGCACTCCTGGGGTGAAGGGGCAAAAGAGCCCTATAAGAGGGAAAGTGGGTGGGGCTGAGGCCCTGGAGCAACTCTGTTCCTGCTGCTCGGAGGGACATCAAGTGTAATTTCGAGAAAAGCAACCCAGCACTCAATGTACAATTCCGCCGCGGCACCGGGGACGCCGATTATGTGCCAGGCACTAGGTGTGAGTGATGGCACAGGCAGAGGCAGGTCAGGAATCCTTGGGGATTTGAGCGGCACCCCCCACGCATCCCACTGTCCCCAGCCTCCAGCCTCTGGCCACCAGCACCAGCCTCCAGCCTCGGCAGCAGCCCCACACTCTTTAAGATGCCAATATGACCCAGGCATTCCCTGGCTCAGAAGCCTTTGTCAGAGTCATCGCCAGGTGGGGGCCCGACAGCCTCATCCCCCAACCTACCCTCCCAAACCCAGAGGCCCCTCTGTGACCTGGTGGGAAAGTCTCCCAAGCCCCTTAGCGGGGTCAGGGCCCCCTCTCCGTTCCCTGAGGTTCTCTGTCACCTGTGCCTTCCTGGGGCCATGGGCAGGCCCCAGCACAGAGCCAAGGAAGGGGCTGAAGAATGGGGGGAGGAACGGACTGGGTCTGACAACCCGGTGGGTGGGGTGTGGCCATCCCATGACGTTTATCTTACTGAACAACTGTGCCAAAGGGCATGCTACATGTGTTTTTCATAGAGACAGAGCCATGAACTCCCACCGGGGTCAAATGACACGCATGCTGTTGGCGCCCCCCGGAAAGCCCGCCTGCCCCATGACTGCTATGTGACTGGGCGTGCCAGGCGACCACTCTGGGCCTCCTTTGGGCACATGGTCCTGCCTCCTGGGCTCGCTTTCACTCCTCCAGGCCTCAGACCTCCATCTAGACATGGGAGGGCTGGACCCAGGATTTCAACCCCCCACCTCTCCAACTCCATCAGCTTATAGAGGGCACGGGAGAGACAGTGGGAGGAAAGGCTTCCTGGAGGAGGTGGTCTTCACCGAGCAGGCCCTGGAAGGCTGAGGAAGCTGTCCCCTGGCAGAGCTGGCAGGAAGGGGGAGGCAAAGACTCAGGGGCACTAATTCTTGCACAAACACACACGAACATCGGACACCCCAAGAAGCCTGGAGGCAGGAACTGGCCCAGAGGGCGCCCAGCGGCCCACTCACCTCCAGCACGTGCCCCGTGATGTACTTCTCACAGCCGTCACAGCGGATGCCGAACTTGGTGTGGTAGTCGGCCTCGCAGTAGGGCAGCCCGTCCCTGCAACGAGACAGGCCATCAGGATGCGTACGGGGTTCCCCTGGGGACCCAGGGGCTGAGCGAGGGCTGGTGGCCACCTCCACAGGCTCAGCCACGGGAATAAGGGCTGCATCTGGGAAACCGAAGATGTTCCCACTGACGACGTGGTTCTTCCTTCCGGTTCGTTCCGTCCCACGTTCGGCGTGTGGATGGGAAACAGCCTATTTACTCACCAGGGGGTGCTGAGTAAATAGACTCCCTCCAAAAGGGGTCTGGGGCGCCCTACAAAATCATGAGCCACAAAGTGTGTGTGACAAAGATGCCCACGCCAGGGGCCATGCAATGTCACATGGCATAGGTGGTGGGTGGGGACTGCGCCTCTCTGTCCCCAGGTGAGGCATCCGGCTGCGCGGAAGGAGTCAGGAGGGCCGCGGGTGACGTGTCCACTCTGCACGCATATTTACAGCGTGCCCACCACGTTTGGGGTGTGGGGAAGCAGTGACGAGCGACACACGGTTTCGGGTGCCGCTCCGAGGATCTGGGCAGCCCGGGGTGAGTCACATCAACGCTGAGCCTCCCCTGAATGCGCGGTGAGGGAGGCAGCTGGTTTTCCGGGTCGCGGACGGGAAAATAGTATGGGCACACCACCAGGCACAGCACTCGGCCCGTGGCGGGCGCTGATTTCTAAGTGACTGTAATTATTATTACAATAGGACATGGCAGGGGGACAGCCCAGAGGAGGTGCCAAGGTTACTGGGTTGGTGGCCATACTCCGTGTGGGGAGCAGCCGGTGGGCAGCGGCGAAGTGAGCAGGCTAGCGCTCACATGCCACCACGCCCCCCGCTGTGTGCCCCTGGGCAAGCCGCATAACCTCTCTGAGCCTCGGCTTCCCCCAGCCATAAAATGGGAGAAATTATAGTAAGGTCTAGAGACGAGAAGGTGTGGCCAGCGCCTAGCACACGGCAGGCATTTGCCAACTGGTGGCCGAGGCCATCGTCATTGCTAACCAGGCCGCCCCCTGGATGTGGAGGCCACTGGCAGGCAGGGGCGCCCGCTTCCCCACACACATCTCCCCTCCCCCGCACTGTGGAAGTTGCCCCTTTACTCCCGGTTGGGTTTTGATTTTTATGCAGCTGCCAAAGGAAGGTAAGAGTTCTCGAATTTTGGGAGACCAGGGCTAATGCCGCCCTCTGGACCTTCTGTAGGACGTAGGATGGGAAGGCTTCCTGGAGGAGGTGGCCTGCAGGACAGGAAGGGCAGTGGGGGGTTATGAGTCCCTGGGGTTGCTGTGGCTGCAGGGTATGTCTCTGACCACAGCCCCAGAGAGGATGAAGCCCCTCCTTCCCTGAGAGGAAGAGATAAATTGAGCCCTCAAGGTCTACTTTCAAACGCTACTGACCTCAGGGCCCCTATTATTCCCACCATGGGTGTCTGTGCCCCAACCCCAGGAGGCTCAATGATTACGTCTCTATGGCAACACCAACGCACCCTCCCTGTCACCTGCGACCGTTCTGGAGGCTGCTGACAGGTGAGCCGTGTGGGTGAGCTACCACGGCAGCAAGCACCCTGGGGGCTGGGCACGTTTTATTTTATTTTATTTTAAAGTGCTCTGTCTCCTGCGGCTGACTTCAAGGGAGTCACTCTCCCCTTCCCTTTACTATGACCGAGGAGTGGCCAGTACCTTCCCCTGCCTGATCCAGCCTGGACAGAGGCTCGTCTTGGCTTGGGGACTTTAACTGAAAACGTTTTGTTTTGAGATGAGTATGGACTCACACGGGGTTGTAGGACACCAGACAGAGACCCCCCCACCCCTGTCACCCCGTTTCCGCCACGAGTGGCCTCATGCACAGGGTAGGTACAAGGGCAGCCAGGAGATGGACAGGGCACATCAGCAACCTGATCTGGATGCCCCGGGTGTGACATGTACTCACGCGTGTGTGTGTGTGTGTATGAGTGCATGAATGTACGAGTGTGTCCATGTGTATGAGCGTGCACACGTGCGTGGTGTGTATGCGTGTGTGTGTGACTGTGTGCACGGCCAGTTCCTGGGACGGTTCTGCTCCCTCCGGCATCAAGAACCAGCAGGGTCTCCCACATTAGCTGCCCGTGGAGCTCCCTAACTTGCAGGAAGGAGCCTGCTCTGCACATTTCAGCTCACCCCCTAACTCTGGGCCATAGGGGGGCTTCCCTGATGCAGTCCCCGACCCCAGGGACTGAAATGCACCCCTTCCCGGCACACCAGCTGCTCCTGCTCAGGGCTAAGATCTCCCAGAGGCTCCGTCTGCACTGCCTTCTGATGAGATGTGCTCTCCAACCCCCACCCAAACCAGCCATCACTGCATCCTGGCTGCCTGTCTGCGGCCTGGGGACACGGGGTCGGCTGGGGGAGCAGCGGGATGGCCAAGCGCTGCAGAAGATGGAGCTGGGGCTGAGTCATCTGCTCTGTGACAGGTGAGGCGACTCAGCCCTCTTCCCCTCGCTCCTGCTGCTGGAGTCAGCCGGCAGCCACCGTGCATTCTGCAGGTGACCCGGGCGCCACGGGAGGGTGACCCCCAGGGACGGGCAAGGGGGAGCATTTACAAAGGCAAAGAGGGGTGCACTGTCTCTGTTTTGATCCACAGAAATGGAGCTGCGGTCTCTGCGGACCACGCCAAGGGAGCCAGGCCGGTGGGAGGAGACCGCCAGCTGGGGGTGGGGGAGACGAACACGCAGGGCCCTGAGTCCACACGGGGGACAGGACGCGGCAGTGACCACAGGGGGGACCCGGGGGGGTCTGCCACTCACTTGCTGATGTACTCCGCATCCAGTTGCTTCCCACACGTCTCACACTTGAAACAGCCCAGATGCCAGTGTTTGTCCAGAGCCACCAGGGACTGGCCATTTTTTATTTCTGTGCCACAGCCCCCACAACCTGAAGGAGAGAACAAGACACGGACACCATCACTGGGGGCCAGGAGGCGTGGGGGCCCGGGCCACTGGGTCTCCCGACACAGAAGGGCCCAGAGCCGGCCCGAGGGAGGGAACGGCGGAGACAGTCAGGCTGGGTGTGCCGAATGGTGTGAACACGTAGAAAACAAATCACAAAGTTCACCCTTGCAGGCACTGAGCGCTGACTGCATGCAGCCTGGGCTGGATGCTGACAGAGGCTGCACCGGCCAGAGGATGGGCGCCAGCCCCGGACAGCTGCGGTGTCCTCGAACGAGAGCGCACTGCAGGCCGGGGGCTGCCCGGAGGGGAGGCAGCAGGTCCGGGGGGCCCCATCTGTCCTCCTCTGTCGACAAGTAGACTGTCAACCTAAGTGACCTGACCAACGTGCACGCCCGAGGAGATGTGCTCCCCCGCCACTCCTTCCTCCAGCAGCTCCCCCTGGCCCGGATGCCCTTCCCAGGAAGCCCTCCTGGCCCACTCTCATCAGGACCTCCTTCTGTGGCTGTCTGTGCCGCATCCCAGACACAAACCGCCCAGTCCCTTACCTGCGTTCTGCTCCGAGTGTCAGCCCACGTCGGAGCCGGGCCCCAGGCAGGTAGCCTCGGGGCTTCCTCCCTTGGCAACCACCCCCACCCCCCGCCCTGCAGGTGATGCATGCTCCTCATCCGGGGACCCCACCTGCTCTGGAGCCCTGACTGTCATCCCCACACCAGCCTGTCCCTGCTCCACAGCCCCTGGGTCCCAGGCCCTCGCGTTGGCACTTGGGCCTCCGGGTCCTGGCATGGCCCAGTTGCCTCCAGGCCTTCCAGTGTGGGCGGCCACACCAGGGCCCCCACAGCCAGTGTCCCCTGCGCTGAAGGAAGGCGAACCCCGGGTGCAGAGACCAGCGGCACAACCTGTCCGGGGTGCGCATGTTTGAGTGTGCTGAGTGTGAGTGTGTGCACCTGTGTCTGTGTGTGACCGTGTGCATGGATGTGTGTGTGTGTGTGTGTGCATGCGACTAGTCACAGATGTGCGTGTGTTTGTGTCTGTGTGTGCAAATGTGTCCGTGTGTTTCTGCATGAATGTGTGTCCTTGAAGGAGTGTGTCTGTGTATGTTTGTGTGTCTGTGTGAATATGTCTGTGTGTGAGCATGTCCCTGTGTGTCTGTGTGAGCATGCGGGGGGTGTGTGTGTGTGTCTGCGTGTGGTGGGGGCAGAACAGGCAGGGCCTTGGGGACCCCCCACAGGGTCCTGAAGAGCAGAGACAAGGTGAAGTCATCTGGCAAACAGCCTCCTACGGCCCACAGGAGCCCCCGAGCAACACTACAGCCCCGGGCTCAGCCCAGGGGCTCGCAGGCAGAGTGGGCACCCTGCTACCCAAGATGGAAGAATGTGGCCTGGCTACCAGTCCTGGCCCCCACCATTCTCGGGGTCACACTGAGCCAAGCTCTGTCCTCTGGGGGCCCCCGTTTCCTCACTGGTGGGGTGAGCGGTCCCATTAAATGACAAAAGGCAAAGATCACACTCACCACGCCCTCACCAGGAGGTGCCGCCCACCAGGACGGAACGGAAGGGGTCGGGGCTCGGGGCAGGGTGCACGGCAGGGGCTTCACAGATGCTCCTCCGACCCATGCTCCTGCCCTTCTCGGCAGACAGAGTGTCATATTGTTCTAAGGACAGAAAATACTTGACGCCCACAAGACTGTTGGTCAAGTTCTGGCTTTCCTAAATTCTCACACTGTTCAAATCCACATGCAACTCTGGAAACCACCCAAAGATCGGACCACACTCCGAGATCCAGGGCCGCAAGGGAAGAGGACGGCTTGTTCATCTGGGGACCCTCGGGGCCCAGAGTGGGCTGGCAGCTTGCATGCCTGTTGAAGGCATGCATGCGTGAATGAATTAACGGGGACCAAGAGAATGCCCTCCCCTCTCAAGTTCAGGAGGCATCCAGACCCCATCCCCAGCCCACTACCTCCATCGGTCCCCCGGCAGCACAGAGACAATGCAATGCGCCCGTTCTGGATTCGAGCGGGCTGGCTTTGAGCGCGGGCTCACTCTGTAAGCTCCAAGTCACTGCCTCACAACCAAGGACCACTGCGCTCCCCAGGGGACACTTGGCAATGTCTGGAGACACTTTTGATGGTCGCAACTGGAAGGGCCGTGCTCCAGGCACCTGGGGGCCGAGGCGAGAGATGCTGCTCAACATCCTCCAGGGGATGGGACGGTCCCACAGCGGAGAATCATCTGGCCCCAGCTGTCAACGGTGCCAGAGTCGAGAAACCCGGCTCGGCGCCTTAGCGTGCTTTGTACACGGACAAGGCGAAGGAGCACGCTACACCGCGTTGCGCCAGGGGCTGGTGGAGAGGCAGGGTGAGCCGTGGTTAGAAACACGGCCCTTGGGGCGCCTGGGTGGCTCAGATGGTTAAGCGTCTGCCTTCAGCTCAGGTCATGATCCCAGGGTCCTGGGATCGAGTCCCGCATCGGGCTCCCTGCTCCTTGGGAGCCTGCTTCTCCCTCTGCCTCTCTCTCTCTCTCTCTCTTTCTCTCTCGCTCTGTCTCTCATGAATAAATAAATAAAATCTTTAAAAAAAAAAAAAAAAGAAACACGGCCCTTGGAGCCAGGCTGCCCCCACCCGCTGTGTGACGGCGGGCAAGTCACGCCACGTCTCTGTGCTCGGCACAGTGGGTATAATAATGGTCCAGGCTCATACACTTGTCTCGGGGCTGAGGAGAGCTAACAGCTACAGGTCCACGGGTGTGCCTGACAGCCGACTCTACGCACATGAGGCCGAGCGCTGTCACGACAGGAAGACCCGGTGGCCCAGTGCCCCGTGGTAGCCATCTGAGAATGCCTTGGACAGGACATTCTGCCTCCTGCCCGGCCCCAGGGGAGGGCCCAGAGGCTCCGGGCTAGCTGTCAGCTGAGGCTGCAGGGGGATGTGGACCTGACACCCGGCCCCAGCCCGTCACTCATCCCGGCGAACTTGGGGCAGAGTCTCACGAACAGCAAGCCCTGACCTCGGAGGCAAGAGCAACATGCATGAAGGACTGTTGTCATGGAAACAGCAATCATCACGTTCTAAACACAACTGGAGCTCAGCGTCGCTTTGCAGGGCTTTGCAAAGGACAGCACAGAGACTTGTCGTGAGTCCTGACGCCAACAGTCATCAGCAGAGGGCATGTCCTCACTGCGGGGGCAGAGGTCGCGGGAATCCGCCCACTCACCCACACACCCTGGACTGGCTCATCACAGCAACGGGGATGGGCCTGGGCTGCCGCCCCAGCACGGCCCTTCTAGAAAGTTCCAAACAGCTTCCTGTTTCCCCCAGAGTGCTCCCTCCTCTCGCAGATGTGGCTCGGATCTCCAGCTCTACCACTAACTTGTGTGGGACACAGGAAGTGTGGGGCGGCCTCTCTGAGCCCCAGCTGTGAACTGGAGAGGGTGGGACCCACCCTCGCCCCTGCCCTCCAGGCCAAACCAGGTCAGGGAGCAGGGGAGGGCTCCGAGCCGAATCTGAGATTGACTTTGGAAAGCATGGAGCCCACTGAGGTCTAAAACGTGAAAATGCTGACATGTTATGAGCGGGGCCTGTTATTTCTCTGAAAGCCCCAAAAGGAGTGGAAGAGCCGGGAGCGGCTGGGAGAGAGAAAGCATGTTCAAGCGCGCCCCACGCACTGGGGCTCTGAGCTAAACCGGAGACACCCACCCCTGATGCAACGCGGGGGCATGAGGTGCACGGCTAGAAGGTGGCCAGGAGTGGGTGTTGGCTCCTGGGGGCTGCAGCACCCTGCAGGGCAGGCGCACCCCAGCCACACAAGCCATAGGGCAGGTGCCCCCCCCACAAGGCAGTCACTATACCTCACAAGACAGCTGCACCCCACAAGGCGTCTGCACCCTATAAGGCAGGTACACCCCACAAAGCAGTCACTGTACCCCACAAGGCATATAACCTCACAGTCTCACTGCCCCGTTTCCCAGGAGTGGGCCAGCAAGGGGGTTAGGGGAGCCTCTCTCAGGGAAGAAGACACAGAAGCTCCAAGGGCCACAGACCAGATGGTCTCAGAGGGAAGGGCTGTGGACCCCCGGTGCTGCCCCGCTTCCTGCTGACTCTGCAGGGGCCTCCAGGCCTCAGCTCCAGGGTGACCCCGGGTTCTGGGTGTGAATCCATCTATGCCCTGGTAGGGCTGAGCCCCAGCCGGGGAAGCACGGAGCCGGGGTGGGTGCGGAACGGGTGGCCAAGCCCAAGAACAGGCCCCAGGGCCCCTCAGCTTGGACAAAGCTGCTCCCCACTCCATGCCCCCGAGGCCCCACATTCTGCCCACACGCACTTCTGACCCCACGCCCAGTCCCAGAGAGGGGACACAGCTCGCCCAGGGCACACAGGGGTGATTGGGAGGGTTCACCTGGGGCAGCCGGGCCCAGAGCTGCCCCTGACCTCATGGCACCAGGCCCCCCAGGGAGGGCTGCCCTGTGACAGCGAGACCAGCAACCAGGTCAGAGCTGGAGGCTGGGGGAGGCCAGCGAAGGGGAGCCGGGAGGAGGAGAAGCAACAAGCCCTCCTGGGGAGGAGACCCTCCTCTGGGTGGTGGGGGAGGCGGCCCAGGGCAGACACTGTTGTGCAAGCCTCAGAAGGAAGGGTGTGCTTCTCCAGGGATGGAATGGCGTGGGCATCCAATGCCAAGCGCTTATCCTGTTCCTAAGCAACAGGCTCTGGGCCAGAGAGCGGAAGAGGGACTCTGAAGGACGCTCAGGGACCAGGACTCCACCTCGACTCCTACCTCCACAGTTGCCCCAGGGGAGGACAGCTTTCCTCCTTGCACCCCGCTGCAGGGGGGCCACGGCTCCTCCCCAGCCCCATAACCTGCAGGCAAACCACACTGCTCAGGCTCCTCCCAGCATTCCTAACTCAACAGCCATCTATGGCTCCTCGTTGCCTCCAGGACACGCTTGGGACTCCTTGGCATGGCTTTGCCCCCTGGTTTCCATTTCTCCCATTTCGTTCTGTTCCCTGTCCCCACGCAGCAGCCCCCCTTGTCCACCCACAAGGGTCTGGCGGTTGCCCACGGCACCTTCCACTTTCTCCCTGTTCTGTAGTGCCCTCCCTTCAATGTCCACCTACCTGAACCTCTGTGTCAAGTTTCAGAACTAAGGTCACCTCCTCCAAAAGCATCTGGTTACAGCAGGGTGAGCTCCCCGGCTTTGGGGTTTGAAGGCCTTGGCTCAAGCCTCAGGAGCACCATTCTCTAGCTGGCCACGGGGCGCCTGGCCCACGGCTGCCTTGCCACCAGACCAGGGCACTTCTGCACCTATAGAAGGAGAAGAGGCTTCCTGCCTGGCAGGGCTGCTCTGGGCGCGAAAGGAAGCAGGAATTCGGAAGATTTTGAAGACATCCACACAGGAACCAAGAACTGGTAATGAATGTTTAACACTTTCTAGGCACAAAAATGGTGCTAAGCTGGAGAGTCTCACTGTGGACCAGAAGAGGGGGCAGGTCACTTTATTAGATCATCTGAGGGTCAGGGGAGCATTTGTCCTCTGGAAAGGTAAATTGGGTATTTTAAAATAAATTTACATTTGGAAAGGGCAGAGCCTTTTAAAACTCTCACAATATTCTCAATGAGTCCAGTTTCAGGCATATTTCCCTTTTTACTCAGGCTGCCGGGGAGCTCTGGACAAACTGTTCAAACTAATCTCACCCCCCTTTTAGATTTTGCTTGTTAGAGTTTTTGATTACTATTTCAGATTTAATTATAACAGTATCGATTGCAAAGCAAATTCTCAGAAGTTCAAGCAATCCCATCCTCAGTGGGAGAGAAAATTTTGAACGGAGGGCTCTCCTGGCAAGCCCCAAAGCCACAGCCTGACCAGCTAGCACTGCTGTTAGCTTGCCTCCCCAGGGGATGAAGACTTTGCCTCCTTTCACAGAGCAAAACAACTCCCAGACCCCGAGGCCAGCCCTGAGCTTCTAGAAGGCTGCAGGTGCACTCTCCTCTGGAGAGACTTTCAACACAACACCTGAGGTAGGAAGAAGGTGCTTCACGGGGACAGGGAATGAACTAAGAACGAGGCGCTGGCTTTGGAGGTCAGCAGAAAGCCCTCCTCTGTCGAGGGGCATGCGACCCCAGCACTGGGGGGCACCATGACCACGGCGCTCAGGGTGGGCTCTGAAACTCCATTTCTGCCCGGGGAGCCTGGCAGCAGCAGGCCCTGGAGCTCCGGGCCCCCTCCCCGGTCCCCACGTCCCACGTCTGGCCCGGAAGAGCCGCAGAAGCTGTGGAAGGCAGGCTCCTGCCTGCCCCGCCTTGCTTTCTCGCTGCCCTGCACCCTCAGCGACATTCCAGCCCACGTTTGTTCCATGACAGTCTGCTTCTGCATCCAACAAGCATCTACTGAGTACCCCTGCATACAAACCCTGGCCTTGCTCCCAGGACCTGGAGCAGTTAACCCAGGAGCTCTCGACCTCAGGAGCCCAGAGTTCAGTGCTCTCCTAATGGCTCCCCCAAAGGGCTTCTGGGAGGTCTAGAATTATCTGTGGAGCTGAATGTGTCTGTGTGTGGGTGTGTCGGGGGGAGGACCAGAGGAGGCCAGGAGGCTTCCTGGAGGAGGCCAGCTAGACCAGGCTGGAGGGCACAGCCCCCTAGAGACTTCTGTCCTTGATTGCCTTCCTGTGTCTGTCGTCCATGTCACCCTTCACTCCCACCGCTTCTGCTTCGGGTCCGTGGGGTCAGGCCCCTCCCCAGGCCCTGAGGAGGCCAGCCCCCCATTCCCCTACCCCCCACCCCCGCGCCGCTCGGTGCCCACTTACTCCAGAGGCCCTGGGACAGGTGCACGCTGCTGCCTGCTGTCTTGGGCAGGGAGCACTTCTGACACATGCATTCCTTCCCGTTGAAGGTCACTCGGTCCCCCGGCGGGAAGGGCAGCCTGCAACAAGAGAGCACGTGACCAGCCAGGATCACCTCCGGCTCTTCTCCTGGGTGGGGGCAGGAGGGGCCAGACACCCCCCTAATATACCACCACCTCCCCCGGGGCCTTGGGGGCCACAGGCTGAGGACGCAAGGCCTACCCACCCAGGCACCCCTGTGTTCCTGCCGTGTGAGTCCCGGCTCGACACCCATGCCTTAGCCTCGGTCCACTACTGCACGAACAGGCAGGATGGCAGGGCCCTGGTGAGCAGCAGTGAGGGCCAGCCCCGCGTTTGGCACGTGGCAACGAGCAAGGCAGCCTCAACCGCCCCCTCCTCCATTTCCCCCTGCCTCCTCTGACCACGCAGGATGCTTTGTCCACATCAGTTCAACAACAATGGCAACAGCTAGCATTTACTGAGCACCTACTGTGTGCCAGGTGCCACGAATTACGGTAGGTACCCCACATGCATGCCTCATGTAATAACTCTGGGACGTTTGTCCACGCTGGAATTCCCTTCATTTTTTCTCTATAGATGAAAAGACTGAAGTTCAGAGACAATAGTTAACTTTTCCAAGGACACACAGCTGATGCATGTCAGAACCAGAGTCAAACCAAGACCCGTTCAGGCTCCAAAGCCCCATGATTTATTTACCTACTTGGGCCTCTAAGAAGTCAGTGCCTTGTACAGGCAGGCCTTGTAGACAACAAGGTATTGCACATTATATCCATCTCTATTTAAGTTTGACATTTTGCTTATCGTGGATGTTTTTGCACTAATTTTTAATTTTTTAAATACCACATTAAAATATCATTTACCTTGATTGCTTATTTTCGGGGGACTCGCTGAAATTCTGCATCCAGAGTGAGTCCCAGCCCCGGTGCAGGCTGGGTGGAGGCAGCAGAAAGTCGCCTCGCCTCCCTGCACCAAGGACGTCCCCGCCTGGTGCCTGGGAGATGGGTAAGGTGGCTGCCCCTCAGCAAGCGGGGGACAGGCCACCTGCAGTCAGGGGCTGGAAGACGGACTTCGGTGTCCTGCTGGTGTCCATCCCAGCCACCTGCTGCCACTGGGCTCCCAGCTGCCCTGGGGCCACTTTCCTTCCCCTGCTCAGCCCAGCCAGAGAACCTGAACTCTGGGGCAGTAGTCTGCAGAATTCTCTGGACCAGGACATGCCCTTTCCTCGGGTTAAAACTTCATGTCTCTCCTCTGCCTCCTCAGGGCTGACAATCCATGGTGCATCCGGGCACTCAGTAGGTACTTGCTAATGAGTGAATGAGTGAGTGAACGAGTGAATGACTGAAGGCCTCCAAGGGCGCCTAACTCAGCGCCCCCTCCTGCCAGGCCTCCCCACACAGCCTGCCCGGTCACACCAGCCCCAGGCCAGTCCCAAGCTGGGAGCATGCCTCCCCCCAGCGGAGCCTGCCCTAGCCCCCACTTTGCACAGCTGGTGTTCATCCAGACAAATACAGGCTGAGCTGGCCCACTCCCCAGGCTTGTGAGACAGCCGTGTAGACCTGGCTTCTTAGGGCCCAGAGCCTTGCAGCTGATGCCTTGAGCTGTATCACCTGTGGCCAATGCTGTGCTCTGCCAGTCTTCCCTAGAGTCTTACAGCTGGCCTGGTAATGTGGGGTGTTGGCATAGAGTGGGGGTTCCTCCCCTTCCCTGCATGTGCTCTGACAGGGTCTCTGGCTATGTATCCCAGCGCAAGTTACTTACCCTGTCTGAGTCCTGTTTCTCATCTGGAAATACCTGCGGTACGGTCAGTCTCATGGGGTTGTTACTCATCCCTCCATCCCTCCCCTCTTCCATCCATGCATCCATGCATCAGCCGTCTATTCATCCATCCATCCGTCTCCCTTCCATCTGTCCATCCATCGGACAAACTGCTTGGAAAGCTCTAGCATACTGCCTGGGACCAGGAGCAGTGAATAAATAATAGCCATTATTTTGTTAGTTCAACTTTATTGAAATGTACATTGACAAATGCACCCATTCATGTTATCAACACCACAGTCACGATGTGGGACATTCTATCCACGGCAGAAAGTCCCCTGTGACCGTCCACAATCACCCCCCCCACCACCCCTGGCCCCAGGCAACCATGGTGGGCATTCTGTCGCTGTGGATTGGAAATGTCCTTTCTAGAACTGCAACTGCATACATATGGAATCATACATGGAATCACACAGTGTGTAGTCTTTGATGCCTGGTCCAGCGTCCTGCCCCTGACATTCGCTCACATGGCTGTGTACATCTGTAGCTTGCTCCTTGTTACTATGGAGTAGTGCTCCACCGGACAGATGAGGGACAACATGATTCCATTCACTGCTGAAAGATATTTGGGCTCTTTCCAGTTTGGGGCTGTTACAAATGAAACTGCTAAGAACGTTTGGTGACAAATCTTTCCATGGACATGTGTTTCCACTTCTCTTGGGTAGATACCCAGGAGTGGAATCACTGGATCACAGGTTAACTCTATGTTTATAACAAACAAACTGCCAAACTGACTTCCAGACAGGTTGTACCACTTTGCCTTCGCCCCAGCAATACATGAGCGTTCCCTCAGCTTCATGTCCTCACCAACACTTGTCTTTACCCACCTTTTTAGCTTTAGCCCTTCTGGATAGATGCTGGTATTCCACCATTTTAATCTGCACTGTTGCGTGTGCTTATGGTCATTCATGTCTATTCTTCTGTGGAGTGTCTGTTAAGCTCTTCTGCCCATTTTTTATAGGGTTTTTGTTTATCTTCTTACTGATGACTTGTAAGAAGTTCTTTATATATTTTGGATGCCAGTCCCTCATCAGATATATCTGATCTACCAGTTGATGGCTTGCTTCCGTACTTTACCGATGCCTTTCGACATCACTTTTCTTCTTCTAGCTTTATTGCCATGTAGGGGTGCTGGCCACGAGTTCTCCAGGCTCCTGTGTGTCTATAGCAGCCTTTGTTTCACCTTCATTTTTCTTTTTTGCAGGGGGGACACATTTATTCATGTTATTTTAATCACAGACATCTTGGAGATACTTCGGTTTCAGTTCCAGACCACTGCAATAAAGCAGATATTGCAATAAAGCAAGTCAAATGGATCTTCTGGTTTCCCGGTGCATAGAAAAGTGATGTTTATGCCGTAGTCTATTAAATGTGCAATAGCATTCAGTCTAAAAAACGAAGTGCATACCTTAATAAAAAGTACTTTATTGCTAAAAAAACATGCTAACCATCATCTGAACTTTCAGCAAGTCGTAATCACTGATCACAGACCAGCATGACAAATATAATCATACAAAAGTTTGGCACATTGTGAGAATTACCAGAAGGTGACGCAGAGACATGAAGTGAGCAAATACTGTCGGAAAATGGCACCGACACACTTGCTCGACGCAGGGTGGCCACGGACCTTCAATTGGTAAAAAATGCAGTATCTGCAAAGCTCAATAAAGTGAAGTGCAACAAAACGAGGTATGCCTGTGCATAACGTTCATACCATTCAATGTGTATGATTCAACGGTTTCTAGGGTATTCAGACGGGTGTATGTATCCCCATGATCAATTCAAGGACTTTTTCATCACCCCGAAAAAGAAACCCCATACTCTTTAGTGGTCTTGCCTTCATTTTTTCAAAGTCTTTTTCTTCCTTTTTTTTTTGGCTTGGTATGAAATTGTTTGATTTTCTCTTATAACTTTTTGAAGATGCCATTCCATTGTCTTCTAGGATGCATAGTTTAGGTAAGAAGTCTGCAGTCATTCTTTCATTCCACTGTATATGATGTGGGTCTTTTCTCTTGCTCCTTGTTAGAGTTCTTATTACTATTTTTCAGAAATTTGATTATGAAGGACTTAGTAGGTTTCTGTCGTGTTTTTTCTGCTTGGGGCTTATCAAGATTTCTGGATCCATGGGTTTATAGTTTTCATCAAGATTGGAAAATTTTCAGCCATTATTTCTTCAATTATTTGGTTTTCCCTTACCTCCAGGGTTTTCCCCTCCCAGCCCAGACAGGCAGAAAGATCCGTTATCCACAGATCCCTGAATCTGTTTTCATGTTTTTCAGTCTTTTCTGTCTCTGTGCTTTAGTCTGTATAGTTTCTGTTGTTATGTTTTCAGGTTCACCAAGCCTTTCCTCTGCAATACCTAATCTACTGCTAATTCCTTTGAAGGGATCTGTCATCTCAGAAATTGTCATTTTCATTTCCAGAATTTCCATTTGGCTTCTTTTTATCCCTTCTGTAAGACTTCTCTTACATTCACATTTTCCTTTAAATACCTAAGCATATTTTCAATACTGTTTCAAAGCCACCATTTGCTGGTTTCACATCACTCTCATTTCTGGGTCTATTGCTATTGACTGGATTTTCTTCTGGCTTTGGGTCTCATTTCCCAGCTTCTATGACTAGTAATATCTGACTGGATGTTGGGCACTGCTGATGCTATGTTGCTGAGGGCTGGATTTTCCGTCTTCCTATGAAGAGTGCTGGACTTGTTCTGGCAGGCAGTTAGCTCATTTGCAGATCAGTGCAAACTTTTGGGGGTTTATTCTTGTACTTCATTTCAGCAGGTGCTTGTAGCCTTTGCTCTAGGTCTATTTTAGTCCCACCATTAAGGCACGACTTTTTTGGCATCCCCACTTCGTACCTGGGCGTTCAACAACCTGGTCACAACTCGAATGCCTCCCAGCCCCAGGGACCGTTCAGTTTACAACAATCTAGCCATCCTTTGTCCACCTTGTGAAATGTTCTTTATGCCTATGTGGCTTTGTATTCAGTGAAAGGCTCAAAGGTGCCCCCACATTGCTCTCTGCACTTGCTCTGTGTGGCTCCCCCTTGCCCCCCCTGGGGGCGCAGCCCCTGTTGCTCGTATCACCGCCTCCTGACTCATCTCCTCTCCAGGAAATGCCTCCAGGCACAAAGCTGGGTGGTTGCAGGGTCCGTTGCCTTTGTGGTCCTGGTCTCAGTCCCACACAGACTGCGCCCCAATGCCCCCAAACAATTGCTTCATGTAGAGTTTTGCAGTTGTGTACAGAGGGTGGTAAGTCCAGCCCAGTTACTCCAGTGTGACAGAGCTGTCTGCTGTTATTTTAAAAACAGAAGATTATCCAGAGGTGATCTTTCAAACTTATTCTGATTATGTCCCCTTGTCTCTAAGCTGTTTGCACAGAAATCAATCATGGGATCATCCTTGCGGGAACTCTGAGACCCACACTTGCTGCAACAGCACAGTGACTGTCATTAGAAATACTCCCCGTCATTGTCCCCTCCTGTGTGCCTCCCTCTGGAGAAAGCATCTATTTCTGTCCAGCACACATGCCCTGCCCACAGACAACAGCTTTGGGAACAACACTCAAAAAGTCCCCTTGAAACTGGGTGTGGTGAGACAGAGAAAGCATAGCAGAAGATAAACTCTGGGTTCTTTTTGTTCTTTGTTTCTTAGATAGAATGTCTCTCTGGGAGCAGTGTGTCTAGGGCAGGGGTGGGGTGCAGGAGGAGGCTGCTCACGTGGCAAAGCTGCTCCCGGGCTCCCTCCTAAGTCCCCAGAGGTGCGGGGCATACCGGGGAGCTGGATGTGGCCATGCTGCGAGGGCTAGGCTCTCGTCTAACTCCAGCCATCCTCCGCCTCGTCCCTGCTCTGGGCCGGGCACCTGGCCCCCTGGAGGCGGAGGAGTCAGACCCAGCCCCTGCCTGCACGGAGCTCACATCAAGTGCTGCCAGGGCAGGAGAGGGGCAGGCAGCAGAGCAGCTGCACTGGGCACAGTGAGTGTCCTGAGGAGGGAGAGAGCTATTCCCCAGGGTAGGGAAGGCCCTGGGCAGGGCACCCTCATACTTCGGTGTCTCTAGGCGCAGAGCCCTGTAGAGTCTGAGGCAATGCGTCTCCAAGCCACTGGTGCCTGCCCTGTGCCAGGCCACAGAGGTGCTTAAAGAGCCCGGTTGAATGAACGAACGAGTGAGTGAAGGAGGGAAGGAATGAGAGCGGACTGGGAAGCCTGTCTCAGCCAGGCTGAGCGGCTTGTACTTTCTCATGGATGCCAGGGGGCAGCGGGAGGAGGGACAGACAGAGGGGAGGCAGGGACCCCACTGTGGAGGCCGTGGCAGGACCCCAAGCAGGCAGACTTTGAGACCAGAGCGGGGCCAGTGGCTGGGTAGATGCTAGAAAGGGAGGGCATCTTCCCCAAATCTGGAACCCAGGGGGATGGGTGAGGGCCACCCACAGATCAAGGACTCGGGACAGCTGAGGGGTGGTGGTGGGTGGGCAAGGGGGGCTGAAGTGCGGACACAGCAGGCACCAATGCAAGAGAAGAAACGTGTGGAGGACGCTGGGAGGAGAGGAGCTCACCAAAGTGGCCAAGGAGGGCGGGGAGGGAGCTCCTTCCCAGAAGCCCAAGGAGGCCCCGAGTTGGCAGCCTCAGAACCTGCTAGACTCTGGGCCCCCCAGGTTAAGAGAGCCTGGTCCTGCACTTCGGGCAAGGGGTGGAGGCCTGCGAGGTCTGCGGTTGGACAAAGGTGTGCCTCGGGGCATAGCCGAGCTGGACAGCTGCCACCCTGGGCTTGTGTCCTGCCTTCCCTCCCAGCTGTGGCCCAACAGGAGGGAGGACAGAGGGAGGAGGGAGGAGGAGGGAAGGAGG